CCTCTCTGAAGTCTGCAATGATGTTTCTATCGAGCCACCTTTACAACCGGTGACAGGAGAAGAATTTGCCTTGAGATCAACAAACACAGAAGATGAGTCACGACTTTGTGAAAGCTAGGGGTTTCTATAGACATGGCCAAAGTGCATTTTTTGACATAAGAGTAGCACATCTTAACGCCGCGTCCTATAAGTTACTACCAACCCACAAGATCCTCTCACGTCATGAGAATGAGAAGAAAAGAGAATATAATCGAAGAGTAATTGAAATTGAGCAAGCACTATTTACACCATTGGTCTTTGGCACAAATGGTGCGATGGGTAAAGAATGTGCGAGATTTCACAAGATTCTTGCTACAAAGCTGGCAGCCAAATTTGGCAAACCATACTCAATAACTATGTCTTGGCTACGTACGAAACTCTCTTTTTGTCTGCTGAGATCTTCCCTTCTATGTTTGAGGGGCACTAGAGTTCCTTTTTATATGAATAATACTAGTTTGTTTGACACTTTGTACTAACTTGAACCTTTTTAAACGAATTGCTTTAATGGATTTTATATATTTTTAATGTATCTAGCTATGCTCATTCTATGAATAAATCTTTTCAGTATGACTGAATGAATTTTTATCCAGTCCTAGGACGGAAGAAGTTATTTCGCTGATCTTAGAATGACATGTTTTCAAAACTTTTTTCTTCAAGATTAGTTTAGAAACAAACTTGAAGTAGGATTATAGGGTTGGGGTTAGGATTAGAATTAGAGTTGGTGTTTGGAATAGGGTTAGGGTTAGTAAAACCGTTCCTTTGTTACGTTTTGTCACTCTGAGGCCAGCGAAATAACCTCTTCCTACTAAGTCTGGATCAGTTTACCAGGTATCCGGTATTACCATGTGAGCAAAATAAAGCAATACCGCGGTTGGCTAATTTACTCATCATGAATTATTAATGAGATTGTGATGTATTTAATATATTTTTCAATTGGGACATTGAGTTCTGTTTCCTCCGCCTGTCGCAATTTTGGGACAAAATTCGTTAATAAATACAAGTACATTCAGTTATAAAACGATATCTTTTATCCATTCAGATGCAGCTGAGGTAATATATATCATTAATGTCATTGATGAAATTACAGCACCCGTCCTTGACCCATACAACTGTTCCTTTATAATCAAATGATATACAAGATCATACAACCGTGGCAATATAAGAAACTTTGTTTTTCCCGAAATTATATATCACCAAACACGACTATAAATTGTCCCCTTCAATATATTTCTACAATAACCAAAATATACACGTTAAGTTTACATATATACCATTATTCCCCACTACAATTATTTATGATATATAAACATATATGAATGATGATATTTACAGGTGGTGATTTTACAATGTTTAATACAAGCGTTTTAGGGCCCTTTGGGCTATTATACTGTTTTTCACATACAGTTCTTATAAATTAAACGGTTATAAACACAAAATTTGTTATTGTTGAGAAACGTGTGCGAGGTACATTGTATAGGTACCATTCTGCATCAATAATCTGCTGCAGTTTACCCGCTCTGAACTGCCTGAAAATGATTGATAAATATTCCGAGATTTCGAGCCAAACAAACTGCCCTTCGTCAGAAATTAAGGTTCAATACCTTTTATAGTCAATCTTCAAATAAAGGCGCTCGAATCCTCAATAATCTTTTTCAGGTAGTTGAGATATAAACCACGGCAGAAAGTTATTTTATCTCATTTATTATCAACTTAATTTCCCTTTTCTATTCTATACATATGTATATTTGACATAAAATACTATGTTTTCCACAAACACATCTATACTTCATGTTTTCTAAAATATATATGTTTCGTTCTATACGATTCTTAATTCTTGCTCTAGTATAGTTCATGACAAGTCTAAATGGTTAAAAATCTTGGTTCTCTTCAGTAAAATTTTCTCTGGACTACTGTATCTCCCGCTATGGTTTTCAGCTGGTGACTAGAAAAACGATCGACAAGACTACATCTTCTACATTGATTTTGAAACATATGACAACCACGGATGCAACGTCAACTTTTGCAAGTCCTGCATGCCAGTTCAGCCACGTTTTCTTGTCGTTTTCTTTAATCCAGTAACCACAATTGGTGACGTTTATTTCTCTTGTCGGCTCCGGTCTGTCTGGTACGAATTTTCCCTTTACCTGGAATATCAATTATTGATATCTTATTAGAATCACACTGCCAACGTTTTTAGATGATGTTTGATCAAGACCTAGGACTGGATGAAGTTTGATCAAGTCCAAGGACTGGATGTTAAGTTTGATCATGTCCTAGGACTGGATGAAGTTTTGATCAAGTCCTAGGACTGGATGAAGTTTGATCAAGTCCTAAGACTGGATGAAGTTTTGATCAAGTCCTAGGACTGGATGATGTTTGATCAAATCCTAGGACTGGATGTTAAGTTTGATCATGTCCTAGGACTGGATGAAGTTTGATCAAGTCCTAAGACAGGATGAATTTGATCAAATCCTAGGACTGAATGAAGTTTCTTCACTGAGTCGTAAGCTTGGACGAAGTGTGATCAAGTCCTAGGGTACTGGATGAAGTTTTAATCAGGTCCTAGGATTGGATGTACTTTGAACAATCCTGATCGAATGTTGATAATTTTGCAGACCTAAGCTATTTTTAAACTCACAATCTTGATATGTTGTAACAGATTAATAATTTTGAACGGCATAATAATTTTAATTCAATTTGATCTAAGTTTGATAATCATGGCATATCGCTATTCACCTGCGATATCTCATTTTATATTGGTAAAAACAACATGAGATAACGTGAAGATGACCGTGCAGACGCGCATGCAATAACATAAAAAGACAAAAAAATTCGAGGTTCGCGACCGATGCCAGTGAGCTAGTTTTAAAGATGCATACACTAAACAATAGTCTTCACGATTTAGTATAAAGGACCAGTAATGTACTAGTTCCATCAATTCTGAACTATTCTCCTTAGAGATCATGCAGTAAGAGCCATTATATAATAACTACAGTGAAACACGCAATTTGATTGGTCAATGGCCGCGTGCAGGATCAGGCTATCCTGTACGAGGAATTAAAATGCCTTCGCGGGATTCTCAAAATGTCATTGTTGTTTCACTGTAGTTATTTTATAAAATAATTACCAAATGGTTTTCCAAGCAGGATAGCGTTATCCATGCACTTGGGATGCGGCTCGAGTATTTTTACGCTTTCCGAAACTCTCTCGACATCCCTCGTGCATGGATCGTGAAAGGGCACTTTTGTATTGATATATACTAAGAGATGTTTGCAAAACATCGGGAGTTGAACTTCGCCTAATAATGTTTTCTATTTATTGGATGAAAGGGGTGTGAGGGGGTTCTCCGCCAGGCGATTGTGCTATTCTTGGAGCTCGATGACTGCATTTCTTGCGTTTTCTGAAGCAAATTCGTAAAAGAATTGCACTAACATTTCTGACAATTCGCTGTTTCGCCAAGGCAATCCTTTAAATTGAAAGGGCACCTTTGCCACCCCCCTTGCCCCTCCTGGTAAAGGGAAAGGAAATAAAGCTTACCCCCAGAAGGAGATCCGTTGCCATGAGGATGAGGTCTTCTTGTACCGCTCCTCCGAGTCGAACGTGTTTTTGGATAAATGTAATTGCACAGCATCAGCTGGAACCGTCAAACTCAGGACAACCACGACCACAGATACGAAAGCAAATAATAGATTTATTCTCATCTTTTCTGCTGACAATGTGAACTTCTTATCTTTTCTGAGTATAAACTACCACAACGTGTTCTCCAATTCTTCAAGTGTTTGTTTACTATTCCCAACCCTTTCGAGTGTTTTTTAAGAGCTCTCTTACCACTTGACTAGCACTTAATCAACTGAAGGGCCAATTTCCTGATCCCCTTTTTATACTCTTGACCACGTTACAAGTAAATTAAACAGGGCATGCGCACGACACTCCAGACGGACACCCATGTTCAGCTCGTTTTACCCAGGACAAATAATTTCGCTCGTCAAACGTTTGTTTTTGGCTTCAAATCCGTCATGGGACCTATTTTTACATTGATTTGTAGCATCTACGTCGATTGGTGTTAAATTAGGTACTGTGGTTATTTTGATCCGCACAAGGATAAGATAATAATCTTATCCGAACTAAAACGATTATCACTATTAGGACTGATGCATTCTAGCAAGTTGCTGGCGGCTTATCTAGCTTGCTGCGAAAATGACGCAAAAAAAAACGTGCGCAATTTTAAAAGATATCGCTCAGGCGAAGTGAGATAATTGGAATACGTTTTTTTTTTAAACGTGCATCGGAACATAAGATGGAATATGTTTCACATCAATCTGTAGTCTATTTGCCAACTAATTTGAAAATATGACGTGGCGGTATACTTTATTTTTAAACAATTGTCAAGGGCATATGGCTTTTGTCTAAACTATAAACTTTCGTTATGAACTGCATGGGTAGCTGTATTAGTTCTAAACTGTTCTTTTTAGAGGTCCAGTAAGAGTCATCTCTTGTTGATCCTGTGCTACTACAGGTGGAAACGTAACTTAACTTTATGTATACTGGATAGCTCTACCAGTTCTAAACAGTTCTTCCTATAAAGGTCCAGTAAGGGTCATCTCTTATTGATCCAATGTTAGGCCACGGTGAAACAAAGAACTTAGCTCATGAACATTTAGGTTCGGCGCATGAAAAGTTCGACGTTTGACCCTGCCCTTACAGTTCTAAACTGTTCTCCATGAACTATCACTTATTATTGAACTGCTCGTATACAAAAGGATGTTTTCCATCAATTTGAGATTCTGTATTATTTGCCCAGTAATTTGGAAAAAATGTCATAAAGTAATTGGCGGTGGTATTTTAATTCTTAAACAATTGTCAAGGGCATGTGATTTTTGTCTTTTTTTTGTGACATGGCATGACTCTCTTAAACTGTATAGTTGATACAAGTGCATGTATGCTTGTCTGCAATAGACAATGAAAGTTTTGGTTGAACTAGCTACTAGTTGAAAAAGATTTAGAAGAACTCGTTCTTATTTAGTACCGAGGTTCTTCTACTCTTCAAGACACACAAACTGAATTTATTGCACATAATATACACCCTGGCATAGACACCCACGTTTCAGATATCATCTTTTCTAATAAATATTGTAATCCCGACACGTAGTTTACGGTCTCCTTCTCACAACTGTGAGAATGGTCTCGATACGTGCTAGTGAAGTCAAACTCAAGCTCTTTTCTTAATTCAATTGAGGTGAAATTATAATCGACATGCAACTATATCAGGAGAATTGAAATTCTGCTTATATTTTTTCGGTAGTTGCATCTCTACCAACGAAAGCTTGTTCATATTATTGGCACGACCGACACTGGTAAAGACAGTTCAAGATTATAATCAGACAACTGTCTATTGTGCAGAATCAAACCTCAGAAAACGCCTATTTCACCGTGTGCACGCAATTACGGGATAAGTCCATTCTAGAATAGTCTAGTAAGAACCTGTCCACTTGTAATACGAAATCATTTTAAAATCATCAAGAAAAAGTTATATATATATACTTCGAGAAAGAGTAGCAGTTTTGTTTTTTTTTGCTCCCTTATATCGTTGGTGAATTTCGTTTGTCTAAAAACTAGTTTACGCGTGATTCCAACTTGACTCCTCCAAACTATGCAGTAGTACACACTGGACCAATAACGGTTTGTTCTTTTTGAATCTCTAAGGAGAACAGTTGGAACTGAAAGAACAATCCTGTATTGTATCAATGAAATAAATTGGTTCGAAATAGAAACTGGCATAAACAACACGAGTGAATTGTGCGTCATGAATTTCGACATGAGATTGCATTAAATATAGTAATTTGGTAATTGTGCTGTCTCTAGTTTTAAAATTTGCTCTTATGAGCTTTGACATGCATTGTCTGTATATCAATATTTTATCTGCATTGTAAATATAGCATCTTTCGTATAGTTGACGTAAACTGTGGCTAATTTCCCCTCCATATTGTGTCGGTTGTTATGGTATTGCTTCAACTAGTCCACTTCAAAAGTCTAATTGTTTTGCTTGCATAGAGTCGTAACTAGGCAACCTGTTCATGATGAGTCTGGTTCGACAAGCCACTGTAGTTACTCCCATTTTTTTTATATTTTAAACGTGGTGTCCAGTGTAGCTAGTATACTGACACTCTCTACAGCATAATCTGCATGGCGTGGTTTGTGTCTGAACTACCTATAAAGACGATATCTCAAAACATGGGGGGTCCAGTGTAGGTATTATTCTTCAATTATAGCTGTCGTTGTTTGTGCCTGAACTACCTGAAAAAGAGATGTCAAACGTGGGGGTCCAGGGTCCAGTACAGGTTGTAGTTTTACAATAAACATTCAAGGTTTGTGTCTGAACTACCCAGTGGCGCCGGCAAGGGGGGGCGAGGGGGGGCAGCCGCCCCCCCAATATTCTCCAGAGTGGGTTTTTGGATTTGTCCAAATCCGATGTCGTAGGGTGGGGGGGTGCGGTGTGTAAATATTTGGTTGTCAAGTGTACGGTTGCGTGTAATGGCCAAGGAAACGAAAGAACGAAAGCCGTCTTTGGTTGATTTATACCGCGAACTTCTTCAAGAACCCGAATGCTTCCCCAATTTGTCAAAAATTATTAAGATTGCCCTTACTCTCCCTTTGACATCAGCATCTGCTGAGAGATCATTTTCCAAGCTGAAAATAATAAAAAATCGCCTGAGGTCGACGATGAGGCAAGATCGACTAGAATCGCTGATGCTCATGTCCGTGGAATCTGACATTTGTCGGGGCCTCGACATCGAAGGACTCGTTGAACGATTTACCGACGCAGCTCCCCGAAGATGGAACTTGTACTAAATATGTATTATAACATTAAATTCTTCATTTCATTCTTGGTTTTATTAAAAATACATTTGATTCGTATATTGTATGGAAATCAATGATGTTCCGATCTACTAAAAAAGTGATTTATTAAAACCTTTATGTTTCTCTTAAAGTGCCTCTAAAACGCAGGAAATGCGGTTTTAGACACCCAAAATTCAAAATTTTCTCGGGGGGGGGGCATACCCCCGAACCCCCCTAGTAGGCTCGTGCCTTTGGCACTCGAATGATTTGCCCCCCCCAAAAATAAATCCTGCCGGCGCCACTGGAACTACCTGAAAAAGATATCTCAAACGTGGTGGTCCAGTGTAGGTAGTATTCTACAATAAGCTGTCGTGGTTTGTGTCTGAACTACCTGAAAAAGATATCTCAAACTTGGGGGGCCAGGGCCCTGTGCAGATAGTATTTTACAATAAGCTGTCGTGGTTTGTGTCTGAACTACCTGAAAAAAAAACTCAAACGTGGTGGTCGAGTGTAGGTAGTATTCTACAATAAGCTGTTGTGGTTTGTGTCTGAACTACCTGAAAAAGCTATCTCAAACGTGGTGGTCCAATGTAGGTATAGTATTCTTCAATAAGCTGTCGTGGTTTGTGTCTGAACTACCTGAAAAAGATATCTCAAACGTGGTGGTCCAGTGTAGGTAGTATTCTATAATAATCTGCCGCGGTTTGTGTCTGAACTACCTGGAAAAGGTTCAGTTCGTCTTCGACGTCTCAAGTGTAAATCACAGGAAAAGACCATTTCGAAATTTTCCAAGACGTTTTTGAAATTGTTGTTTTTATTTCTCTTAATTCATATTTGAGAACACTCAACATAACACAGGGTGTATAGAAAAAGAAGACCTTTATAAATTGTCCTATTGTTATAATTTCAATGCCTGAATCGTGCTGTGTAAAATATTGACAGCTATATACGTGCATAATTACAATATTGATATTTGTTGTATGCACAAGCGAACATGCAGTACTTTGTGTTGAGAGAAATGGGGGCCACGTCGAAGGCAGGGCCGTAGCTAGACGCGATAATTGGGGGGGGTATATTCATATATTCATGTTCACATACAGGGTGTCCCAGAAAAAAGTACCCTCTATAGAAATTATGCTATTGTTATAATTTGAATGCCTGAGCACTATGCTGAACACAAGAGTATAAAATCCTGTGCTAACAACAATAGGATAAATTTCTATAGAGGGTACTTTTTTGGGGGACACCCTGTACCGTAAAAACAATCGCTTTCAAAAGAAATCCGTCGGGCAGAACACGAATAGAGTATACACCCGCCAATTATCGGTCTAACTACGGCCCTGGTCGAAGGCACGGTGCTTGATATTTTGATAGATGTAAAATAAAACAAGGTTTTATTTGATACTTGTATTAAGGATGAGCAAGTATATTAATTCATATGTTGACATGTTGTGAGTGAAATGGTAGATCTTTTAAATGCCACGCATAAAGTTAAATTATATTAGAGACCTAATAATAAGAGCTCTAATAGAGACCTTAAGATTGACGTTTACGGCAAACGTCAAACCGCTAGCGAAGTTTTTGATTTTACAACTCTATCATTATAGCTTTTACACCAGTTTTGAAATATGTTAAACTTATTAAACTTGTGCTCTTTAGCAATGATTTAAGAAAGCAAATTAACCGCTAGTCATGCCATTCACCAAAGCAGTAAATTAAGATTTAGCGTTTGAAGTTGACGTTTGGCGTATAAATTTCATGCTTTAACGACTACAAGCCCTCGTAGCAGTTCAAGCATGAAATTTATACGCCAAACGTCAACTTCAAACGCGAAATCTTAATTTACTGCTTTGGTAAATGGCATGACAAGTAGTTAATTTGCTTTCTTAAATCATTGCTAAAGAGCACAAGTTTAATAAGTTTAACATATTTCAAAACTGGTGTAAAAGCTATTATAATAGAGTTATAAATCAAAAACCTCGTTAGCGGTTTGACGTTGCGTTGCGAGACAAGTTGCACGAGTCATTGCACCGTTTAACATGTCTTGCAATGGTCAAAATATTTGCGAGACAAGTTGCATGAAAAATTGCACCGTGTAACAGGGCCTTAACAAGCACTTGAAATTATAACAATAGAATAATTTCTAAAGGTCTTTCTTTTTATACATCCTGTAGTGCCATGCAGTCATCCATACTGATTGGAATGTGCCATTGTCTTTTCATTGTTTTGAAAACCCCACAGTTAAGGCCTGATTCCATGCACGGGCGCTTTTTCTCGGCGAAATGCGAAATATTTCGCCTGTTTCTTTTGAATTGCGACTACTCGAATAAATTATTTCTACTTGATTGCTCACAATTCAAAAGAAACAGGCGAAATATTTCGCATTTCGCCGAGAAAAAGCGCTCGTGGAATCAGGCCTTAATCCATGCCACCCAGTCATGATCCAGTGATCAGAATGTTCCCGATTGTCTATTTATTGTTTTAAAAAACCCACAAATGTCCATGCCATCCAGTCACTCAGTGTAAAAACTCCTAAATATTGAATTTAAAGAAAAGAAAGTATTTCGTGCATGGGAAATTAAGCTTTGTTATGCATGAAATTACATATATGCAAATACACTAAGCTTTTTGATTGCGAAATAATTCTATACCACAGCTGTTTTGCAGAGGAATTTATGCCATGTTGATAAAGTCTATAGTATTTTCAGCTATTGCTATGTCAGAAATATCTACAAATTAACAACCAAGAATAAAGGGAAAATAGGACTGACAGTCTGGTCCAGATGGCTGGCTAAATGAAGCCCCTGCATCGTTATTTAATCAGAAGAAAATATCCATAACTTTAGGCTGGTAAACAGTGAATGGAAATATTACTATACAGTTCCAGCGCAGTAAAAATAGACGGAAAGAATATCCATGGTTCGATTGTATATAACAGAATCAGATAATCTACATATGGTGAGTAAGAATGTAAGATTTTAGTATAGCATTACTAATTGCATTAGTTTTAATTTTTTATATTATACAGGGTGAGTAAAAAAAAACTGACACCTTTGTTATAATTTGAATATCAAAGGTATCACTTTTTACTCACCATGTACTGTATGTCCGCTCTGATATACAAATTTTGATATACAAATTTTGATATACAAATCGGATAACTGTATGAAACTGTTGACAGAGAAAAACTATATTGTCTTTGGGCCATACTTTTCCCAATGTTATTGATGGGAATGACATTTTTATATCAGAGGCATTAGGCAAACGTCCAATTACATTTGACAATATCATCTACACGTTTTTGACAGCTGCTAATTCATGCTTCAAGTTTGATGCGCAAATTGTCCTAACTTCGAACAGCCTAACAGTTGACCTCAAAATTCTTGACTTGCAATGATGTGGGCGACAGCCATGTTGGTCCCTTTTCAACAAAAGAATCTCATTAACTTATTTTGAATTTGGCAGCAACATGGCCGGCCGTGCCAATGTCTTCTAATTCTCAAGGGATTGATTGCGATACGATTATACGATTTGCATGCTTGTCGTTTGCAGTCTGTCGAAAACGTCAATCTTAAGGTCTCTATATATTAAGGTCTATAGATATGAATTGGGGAACCTTGCACATTTTTATACTTAAAGACAGTTCAGCCTTCTGAATAATACTAGTTTTTAAGGCCCATTACGAATAATAATAATTGAACAACTAACCAGGAAAATCAATTAAGCATAATTCAAGATCAGCAAACTTAAAGTGCCTATGACACGAAATTTCACCCCAAATGTTTATGATTGCATTGTAAAGATCACTTAAAATGACTTATAGAATTTTGGTAATTTGCTTCCTTTGCAGGATATTCAACTTTGTGTCATATGCAAATATCACCGGTGTGACATCACATCGCATAATGAGATTTTGAAAACGCAATATTTTACCTTGATAAAATATTTTTACAAACAAACACAGAGGGTTAATTACCAGTTATGAAATTAATACATATATACAAGGGCAATTTTTAAGTTTTTTAAGCCTGGTTCACATTGATCGTAAACATCGGCGATGCCCATTGTCGGTGGTCATTGATGCATAAAATGTTTTGTGCATTTTCTTCTTCGTTGCTCACAGACAATCAGGGGCGAAACTTGAGGGGGGGGGTATGGGGGGGTGTTACACCCCCCAAAATACGGATCATCCCGATTGGCAGGGCAATCAAAGGTCTCTTATAAATAAATGATAGCACATAGGCGTACCGGGCGGGGGCAATATTCGATCAACAGTCGGGCAATCTTGGTTTGGAAAAAAAAATGGGACAAATTCAGTCAATTTTATCTAAAATTAAGTGAATTTTTTCGCAAATTGTGTGATTTTTCGAAAATTTGTGTTATGTTACGAAAAATATAGGTTGTCCGGAAAATTTTTTTGACCCCTAAAATGGTACACAGACCGAAATTCGCCAAAATAATTTTTCCGGAAAAATTTTTTTGGTACTTTTAGGCAGGGCATCACTGGTTTTGGCAGGGGAATTCTGCCAGACACCCCCCTAATTAAAAGGGGCTAGTTTCGCCCCTGCAGACAATGGATCGTAGAACATCGCCGATCAATGTGAACCAGGCTTTAGATACGTATTCGTCAAGAAAACTATACTTTTCTGAAAACTCATTATGTGATGTGATGTCACACCGGTGATATTTGCATATGAAACAAAGTTGAATATCTTGAAAAGGAAGCAAGTTACCAAAATTCTATAAAATAAATTAAGTCATTTTAAGTGATCTTTACAATGCAACCATAAACATTTGGGGTGAAATTTCGTGTCATAGGCACTTTAATGTTTTTAACATTTTAAAACATTTTTATTGTTAAAAACATTGAGTTTACTGATCTTCAATTATGCACAATTGATTTTCCTATAGTTAGCTTTTTCAATTAAGAGGGCTGAAATGCGCCTTAAAAACCATCATTCAAAAGGCTGAACTGTTCAATAGAATATGAAAGTTAGGGAAGTCGATGAAGCATAATAGACATCATTATCCCTATGGTTTTGTCTTTGTTCATTGCAAAAAAATGGTCAGTTCATCGTCACGTGTGTATATTATTATATTGTATTTTCGCTAAAACAACCAAAAGCTGTGTTTTCATTTATTGTGTAATATCACGGTATATAATTAAATATGGGTATATAATTAAACCAACACACTGCTATATTCATATGAGTTGCTATAGCGAAAATACAATACACACGTGACGATGAACTGACCATTTTTTGCATAAACCAAGACAAAAACATAGATAATGAGGTGTATTATGCCGACGCACACGAGAGCAACTTGCTGCTAACCGCCTCGGCTGAGCTAACCGCCTCGCGAGGCGGTTAGCTCAGCAAGTTGCTGTCGTGTGCGGATAGTTTTCGTGAGGATTTGACCTCTCGAGGCTCTATCGTGTTTGATATTTTTCGCCTCGCGAGGAAAAAATCTCAGCGTCTGCGGATGTTGTGAGCTAAGTGCTGAGCTGTTTGAATCAATTAGCCAATGACAAACTATGGTTTCTTCATGTGACTTGGAACAAAATGGAGGAAAATGCAAATGATTTTGTCAATTATGTTGTTGTTGAGTAGTTTTCCCAACGTGTGCGGTGAAAATACATAGCTGAGCTAGCTGCCTCGCGAGGCGGTTAGCTCAGCAAGTTGCTCTCGCGTGCGGCGGGCTTTCTATTGACCATATGATTCAACGTTGCAATGTTCCATTGTGAGCATGATGACTGATTTCACGGTTGATAACTAGATCATTGTCGCTATCATGGGTATTCTCCGGATGTTCATACATGCATGATCAACCAAGATCCTTCTTCTATCTTTCCTTTCGAGTTGAAACAATTGAAACTTGTATGAAGCAATTATCCAATAGTATATCATCTTGTCGGATCATGCAAAGAGCAAAGAATTTGGTGGCAGAGTTCCAGACGATATTTTAATTGATGATTATAAGATTATGGCATAATGACCAGGTGCATGGTGGCACACGGTTAATTTCACATCAGAAAAGAATGAATCGTTTTTCTTCGTTACTGCTGCATTGCAGTGCTTTTTTCTAAAACGCAGTGGTAAAATTCCACAATGGTTTTTTGGGAAACACAATATTGTGTGTCATTGGGATTTACATGTAGTTTTTCGTAACAGTCCACTGGAATTCCGAAATGAAGGCTCGGTATGTTGGAAGTTGTTACAAGTAATCGACGAAATCACTCCCCTGATATGAATCAGTTGGCTAATAGACGTGATAAAGATTTGATATAATATCACAAACGGTGGTCTCAAAGATCTGATTAAAAAAAACTGCATGGTCTTACATGAGAAACCACCAAATATCGCACGTTTTTTCCAGGTGTAAATAGTTACTGCATTATCATATAGTCCAATTATGCATGGTCACGAGAGAACAAATTTAGAAATGAATGATAGAGCTACCCAGTCGATACAGGAAAACAGTTCATGCAGCATAGCTTTCTGCCGGTTCATGGGGATACTACTACCTGAAAAACAGGGTTTATTTTAACGTGCAGTTCTACACAAAATGTGCAGTTCTATACCCATTTGTGCAGTTCTTAAAACACAAATGTGCATGCAGTCACCAAACTAACAAAAATAGCCTTAATTAAAACAGTCTTCTCATTTACTTGTTACCCTTGTGGATGCTCCAGAAAATTCCAGAAATGCTGTAATTGAGCATCAAAAATATAAACGCTTTCTGGGGGAGGACTCCAGACGCTCCTATTTTCCTCACAAATCACTTACGTACTGGGGTGATGGAAAAGAAGGTAAAACTGGGGCGAGCGAAGCTCCCCAAAATAAAATAGAGTGGGAGAACCTAATATTCTCTGCTGCCTCAAATGCAAATTTAAGCGTGTTATATATTGAATATCTATATGATTCCCAGTTGCATGTTTCGAAACAGGTTTTGTGAGTGGTTGGGTAAAACAAATCATTGCCGGAACTTAAGCGCCTCTAGATTCAAATTGTTTTGTGGAACACTCCCTAGCTCCCGCAACCCAACCATACCATTATTGTGTCACCTATATATGCACGTAAAAAATCCTTCGACCCCCCAGTCAAACACCCGTTGCCTTCGTAACATCCCTATATGCGCAGTTCTAAATTTTTCTTGAAATAAACCCTGAAAAATACAAGGTGAACGTCGACGTTTCGAGCGAAGGCCCTTCGTCAGCTTTTTTTTATTTTTGGCACTACTTACACTGGTATACAGACCGTTCAACGACATATAGTTTTCATTTAATAGTCGAGTATCAATTTAAAAAAAATGAAAAGTACAAATTTACAATCATATGGTAATTCAAAAAATGACTACAAATAACTGTTTCTTATATTATCAATATTTACAATGTAGAAAGCGACTCCAATTCCAAAACGATTTACGATAATAAAATACTCCAAAACGTTAAACTTTTAAATATTAGTAATACTAAATTCCATGTATACTTCGTAAAAATGAATAAACAACATCGGAGTTCTAACAAATTATTTATGGTTGGCATAAATTTTGTTATGCGCGCGTACACGTTTGTGTGTAGCAGTTCATATAATATGTTGTATACGGCCGACTTCAAAATAACGTACAAATGCAATTGGTTTGAGTCTGGTTTTTCAAAAGCCAGTTAGCTTATAATCCTGGTGTTCACAAACTCTTCAAAACAATCATTACAACAACTTGTTTATAACCATGGAAATACTTTTTTCAGAAATCTTGTCTGGATCAACGGAAGTTCTATTCTCGGAATGTTTTAAACAAACACGCAGGAATACACAAACCAAAACAACAGGTTAAATTTTAACCATGCAGAATCAGAGCTAATCCAGCTTGGTAAACAACCGGCCCTTGGTGACAAAGATTGAAGGATATCAAAGTTTCTATATGATCACAGTATAGGAATCAATTTTGCATGAGCATAGATCCTAAGCTGTGAAGGATATGTAAGAAGTCTTTGAGGGAACATTGTTTAATAAATTGAGCCAGTTTCTTCAAGCAAACTCTTCAAAACTTATAATTTACCTATGCAAAATTCCTACTGTGGTCACAGAAACTTTGGTGGTGTAAACCAGGCTTTAGTAATTGAAACAGTCTATGTTTGGTTAAACCGCTATAAAAATCCATCGCGGGTTAATTGGTTACAATGCATAATGCATCACATCTTTGTCTTTGATTGTCATTACTATATATGGCTTCAGGATATTGTTCATTATGTTAGTGCTTGAATATTTCGATGGTAGGGTAAAATGATTTCTAAGAACCTTTAAAGTTGGGTAATTTAGGTTCTATATTCTCCGTGCATAAAAAATGAAATAGCTGTGTTCCAGATTTTTGCGCAGCTAAATTTAAACATAGTGGGCATCGAAAATTTAATCGAAGAGATAAACTTTGACATCATTGATAGTGGTCTAATAAAACCAATGTTGTTTTTAAAGAACTTCTGGCTAACCCAATGTAAAGGCCGCATTTTCCACTTTAACCGTATCGTACCGAAGCGTATTTCTTTGTTTCCTCAGCAGTTTTTTATTATTAGGTGTACAACAAGAAAAAAATTACATGTTGAAGTCCCCTTTTAGTATTTTTGCACAAGTGAACATAACAAATCCTACACGTTGATTGGTCAAATTTGACGAATTAAGCCGTTATATTCACCTACAGGTGAATATAACAAAACCGAAATTTTCAAAATGGCGGCTAGCCGTTTTGTGGAAGTTACTGATAAAGAAATAAGCGAAATTAAAATAAATTCAGTCCCAAAAACACAAAAGACTTGTGTAAAAATACTAAAACAATTCGCCTCAGGCTTGGTGATTATCGGGGAATATTCACCTCGACTTCGTCTCGGCGAATATTCCCCGATAATCACCTCGCCTTCGGCGAATAATTGTTAAATATATTCCCCTTGTACGGAAAATATCCCATTATAGTTGAACTAATGAGTTTGACACAAAAGAAAATGCTACGATATACGTTACGATTGAAGTGGAACTGAACGACCTTAAAGCCGGATTTCCACTTCGATCGTAACGTATCGTAGCATTTTCTTTTGTATCAAAGTCATTAGTTCCACTATAGTGGGATATTATATAAAGGGAATATAGTTTCATACAAGGGGAATATTACACACTACAGCTCAGGAAACAAAGAGATACACTACGTTTCGGTACGATACAAATGAAGCCGAAAATCATGGCTTTAATCGCCGGCTTTAATCATGCATTTATAGTTGTGTTTATACGTTCAGATTTGCCTTCCACTACCGCTACTTCCCACCACTACCTACGTCACTGACTTAGTACGCATCTGATTGGTTAATCGGATGTATTAAACTCATCTGATTGGTTAATTGGATGTATTAAACTCATCTGATTGGTTAATCGGATGTATTAAACTCATCTGATTGGTTAATAGTTTTACAATTCGATACAGTTCTTTTTCTACAGTTCTAGTAGCTGACGAATCCCAACAATTGGATTCACAAAATCTCGATTCTTCCTTGGGGTTTATTCCATTAGCTTTAAGCTTTCGTAAGATTCTACTCCACCATTTGTAAATTTGAAATTCTTCTAAAAATATATATACGAGAACGTAGTTTCCCAAAACGGATGCGGTGTTATGACTCCGTCTTCAATTCAGCTGAAATGTAATAAATATCAATGTTCCATATTATTGATAATTTTTCAACAATCATTTCTTCGGTTGTGTGTTTCCGGCTGAATCGTTTTCCCTGGCTTGGTTTCCGCTGTGAATGGCATTTAGATGCTTTATTATGGTCTGAAAAAGAAAATTCTACTTATTTTCTATTCTTCGAAGTTTTGAACACAACATTTCGTGAGCAAGAAAGCAAGCTAGCTGGCAAGAAAGCTAGCCGAAGCGAGCAAGCAAGAAAGCAACTAAACAAGCAAGCAACTAAGCAAGCAAGCAAGCAAACAAACAAACAAACAAACAAACAAACAAACAAACAAACAAACAAACAAACAAACAAACAAACAAACAAACAAACAAACAAACAAACAAACAAACAAACAAACAAACATGCAAATACGTAAATAAGTCGATGTGTGCTAATCATCTTTACTTGCAGCTGAGTGCTAAGTTGAATTGTGAAGGACACAGCTCAACCTGATCAAGTCAAACGCTTTCCTCAACAGTCAAACACAACAAAGTTAAATATACGGCCTTCACGACTAGTTTTCACAATGCAGTACCGACATATTGATATAATAAACAAACTATACGCACCCTATCTCGGCATTTGGTGTGATGGAATCCTATATCATCTATTGCTAAATCGCCTCTCCAAGTTCGACCGCGAGATACCTCTATGACGATCTTCAAAATATAAAAAAAAATATTTTGAGTGGTTAATTGATTAGATTACCTTTTTGCATATCCACAGGCTACTAGGCTAGTTTACAATATCAAAGTTTATGTGATCACAGGAGGAATTTTACATAGGTAAATTTAAAGGATTGAAGGATTTATAAGAAATGTTTCTCGTGTTTCTCGAACTGTCTCGGTGTCTATAACACTGAATCGGTTCCCTCAGATATTTCTTACAAATCCTTCAAAACTAGAATTTACCGATGCAAAATTCCTACTGTGATCACAGAAACTTTGATGGCGTAATGAGCAACTTGCATGTTAGACTAAATTTTAATCTAAGTAAAGAGAAGGGAATCAAACACCACAGCTAAAAAGAACATAATGAAATTATTAAAATTGCAAAATTTGGTTGCGAAATGTTGTAAAGCCTGAAAAATATAGTCTTGCAAAGTTTGCAAATTTTGTATATGTTTGTATTACGTGCGAAATTTATTACCATTTTCGTCTCAAAAATAGTAACAATTTCCGCACGTAATGCAAATGTAAACATTACAGAATATGCAAACTTCGCAAGGCTATATTTTCCGTACTTTACAACATTTCGTAACCACATTTTGCAATTTTACTAATTTTAATAGGTTCTTTACGGGAATTTACTTTTTTTGCCTGGTTAAAAAAATAGTCTAACATGCAAGTTGTCTATTTCCAGCCTAAAATCATTTGTGGTTTGCGCAATCCTTAACAGCTTGTTGTATATGAACAGCTGTACATTTTATGTCATGCACCTTAAGATAAACCGGCTCCATTACCTGATACGTCAAACCAATTCGTGCATTCACTTCGGCTTTGATCCATCGTTGTCCTTGATCTCCTTTTCTCTCCCAAGTAAACTCGTCCATGTATCCTCCTTTTGTGAGGAACTTCACCTTCAGTGAGCCGCAACCGTTTCCCCACATATGATAAAAGAAGACGAGGCATGCTTGTCGTACGTTCACTTCGGGGCTGATCAGTCTCGCTTGGTGTCCTTCCCTTTGAGGATTCGATGCTTCCATGAACATATAGTGACCTAACGGACAATAAACAGTGAGTGGATGAGGTTTTTGTGATATCCAGTATGATTCGATCCAGCTATACAGGGTGTATAAAAAAAAAGGTAATCGAACTTCAGCGCGCTATTATACGTGAATTACTCTGCGTATGAACAATTGGTTTTTATATTCGGAAAGATCAGGCTCTTAGCTATTGAATGACATGCTTTTCATGACAAGTGGAGAAAAAATAAGCATGTACGAGGCCGATCAAAAATGTTAGTCAAAATCGCATATTTTCACCTCTGTGCCTAATTAAAACAATGCATAACAAAAGAAAAAGAAATTAATCACGAGCATGTCGTAGCTTAGCTAAGATTTATTCCTACTTAATAATAATTATGAATATGTGCGTAGTTTAATGAAGTGAAATTCATCAACTTAAGTACCAAAGGGGGGTTCATTTTCAATGGTTTTAGACCCAACTCTCAACGGTGAAAAGATGCGATTCTGACTAACATTTTTATCGGATTCGTATTTGCTATTTTTTTATCCATTTGGCATGAAGAAGATATCATTCAACAGCTAAAAGCATGATCTTTCCGAATGTGAAAAAATCTCGTTCATACGCAGAGTAATCCAGATACAATAGCGCGCTGAATTTCGATTACCTTTTTTTTTATACACCCTGTAGACGAAATTTCGATGTATAGACAAGAAGAGCGAAACCATTACCGTAGCTGCATGGAAAGAGCATCTTAAAATGAGTAAAATAGCAAAGTTGGGTTGCGAATTGTTTTAAAATGAGGAAAATATAACCATGTGAAATTCGTAAATTTTGTATATATTTGCATTACGCGCGGGGAAAATAACCATTTTTTGAGCCGAAAGCGGTTATTTTTACCGCGCGTAATACAAATATATACAAAATTTGCGAACTTCACAGGACTATATATATTTTCTTCATTTTACAACATTTAGCAACCGAATCTTTGCAGTTTTATTCATTCTAAGACGCTCTTTCCAGCTGTGGTATTGGATTTCGCTCTTCTTGCCTTGATCAAAATTGTGTTATGAGGCGAGCGTTACTCTACTTTGAAAATCACGTAGTTAAAACTGCGACACCTCGGAAACCCAAAACACTTTGAAAACTAATATGTTTTACCTTTCAAAACTAATAATTTTGGTTAAGCCAACAGCTGGGCCACGTAAAAAGAATTATATATTCCAACCTTACATGCAGTGATTATATAGCCAGCTGAGCATGCAACAATAAGTATTTATTATAGTACTAACCTACCAATTTCCCAACTCAAGCACCAAAGGGGATATCAGTGTCATGAAACTCTAAGGGACCGGTCATTATTTATGGTGGGGGGTGGCACCGAAGAGAAATGTTTTTCATGGCAAAAATTTTGCTGACTCAACCATTAAAAAGTAAAAAATTTGATTACCCAACCTCAAATATCAATTAAAAAATAAATAGTCACCCCTGGCCAAAAACTTTACATAAAGGTACCATTCAGTACGTTGTCACACATGTCCCTTGCCACTTCTGTGACACGAGTTTGATAACAGATTGTGAATTTTTTTGCAGACTAAAGTTTCATGTTGTCTGCACATGTACTTTCTTTGGAGACACCATTTGTCTCCCAACAAATTGAAAAACAGTGATCAAGATAGTGACTCCGATTGATTCACATATTGTATTGACATATGACTGTTGACATTGCTTTTTAGTCTCCAATATTTCAGTGAGTCTTGCTTTGGAAATTATTATTACCCAACCCTTGAGTTGTTTTGTTTTTCATTTACCCAACCTTTTACTTACTCAAAATTTTGTTTACCCAACCCTTTTCTCTTCGGTGCCACCCCCTGCCATAAATAATGACCGGTCCCTAACCTGAGTGTATATACAGGTCACTGCAAATATGTACACATTACGTACAAGTACCTGATCTATTTTTAAACGTGTGGTCATGGTTAGGTCCAGTCCCCGTGCTCTTGGTTTTTCCTTGGTTTCTTTGCCAGTCGAAATCATCGTCTTCCATCTGTGTCCACTCACATAGATCTTTCTCAAAGTCGCAGTCCAGTGGATCTATATAGCACATTGAAGAAATGCATGAGTGCATAGGTTTGGGAAGAGTTGGAAAACCTTGGAAAGAGATTGAACGATTCTATAAGCACACAAGCTATTTTGCAATACGCATAGAAGTACGAACTATGAAATAAACACATAATAACAAATCTATACTATAAATTGGAGGAAAAAATATTGATATCAGTTGAAGAATCACATTTTTCTATATTTGTGTCACAGTAGTATGTAGCTAAGTATTTCTTATTAAATGAATTTCAAACCAAACTAGACCAAACTGTGTCCTAATCAGTTGACGGTAGTTGATTATGTACTATTTAAAGCACGCGTAGGAGTGCTTTATTAAAATATCTTTTAACCTCTTGGCCTTTCGGGCATAAACGAACGTTAGCCAAATTTGTCTATCATCAGCAATTATTATGTCTTACCTGCAGGCGGGCTGGTACAGGCAGGTTTGCGACAATTTATCCTCGACTCTGGTTGTTTATTTGTATCGCATCCATTAGTACGCTGTCCTTGTTGGTCAACACAAAGTACATCACGTGTTTGACTGCCGAGACCACATGTGGCAGAACACTGAAAAATAGAATATATACTACTACTTAAGAAAAATGATAAGCGTTACACGCTTCTCGCGTATTCTCCCCAAACACACGAGACGAGCTTTTCTATTTCTTTTATAATATAACTAGAAGATATTACATAGTAAACAATTTTACTCAAAAAGATCAACTTTGAAATTCTTCTAAAGCCCTGGGCAAACGAGGAAACATTGTTGTGGAAACATTTGTGATTCTCGATATTTCCTCAAATGTTTTCATGTTTGCCCACCCTTGGAAACATTGTTGCGGAAACAAAATTTGCTTCCCGAGAAGCAAAAATGTTTCCTAGCGAATTCAGAAACATTTGATGTTTCCCTATATTTCTCACTAATGCTTCTTAGTGTTTGCCCACTCTTGGAAACATGGCGAAACATTGGTAGGAAACATTGGTAGGAAACAATGTTTCCGCAAGAATGTTTCCTAGTTTGCCCAGGGCTTAACATGTACTCAGTGACGTCACGCGCATGCTTTTACTGTCGCTTGAATTTTTAAGCGAGCGAAGGAGCAAATTAAATTCGACACTACGAACGAATATGAAATATGCCTAGGTAAAAATAATGAACTCATGGACATTTGACCGCATAGTACTTTATATTTTGAAAATATTATTATTAACCTCGCTCCAATTTCCAGTTGACCATGTAGGTTCACAGTCTTTCAAAAAACATGGCTTGGAATCACTGGGCTTCGTTGCTGTACAACGCTCGGCTGCGACTTCCTTGTTCACAGGCAGTTTGATACACGTGACCTGTCGCGTCATGATACCAAGAGAGCACGTCTTGGAGCATTCGCTCCACGGTCCAGGCGTCCATTTAAATCTAGAGAAAATTAGTGCGCGATTATAAAGGTGCTTTAAGGTCAATTTACACTACACAACGTTTGCCTAGTAAAACTGTCGCATGCAACATCTTACAACTTGAGTTGCACTGTGTAAATCAAGCACACAACTCGTCTATGACAACGTAGAATGACCAATGAAAGTCTGTCATGGTTCTACTTACGTTCTTTCGCAAGAATGTTCATTGCAGAATCTGTACTTTTCTTTGACGTTCAACTCCAGATCTTTGCAATGTATTCTGGGTTTTACCTTCTCGCCAATCTTGCAGAAATATTTGAGGAATGTCACTCCTGAAAATATTTAACAATTTTCAATTAGCTCGAACAGTATCAAAGAGAATATCTGAACTCGGCTTTCGCCCGGACGGAGCTGCGCGCCATATCCTCGGTATCCGCAGTACACATACCTTTTCCACAAGTGCGGGAACATGTTGTCCATTCGTTCAAAATAACCCACCGAGGTTTGACCTCCGGTGTCACTTCGACCCTTGGCGTTGGGACGAGTGTGGATACGGGGACTCGTGGAGTGGGGGTAGTTGTAAGGCTTTCTCCACCCACTACTTGAATTTGGTCAGTTTTCTTCACATTTCCTTGTTTTACATCTTGGGTGTCGAAGTATTCGTATTTCACGTCGATTGGAGAATGGATACCGTTTTTCTTTGCCTATAAATTTAGTACATTTTACCATTAGGTAACTGCAAAAATACACAGCTGTAAACGTAGAATTCTTCGGAATTTGTTTCTCGTGCAATTTGGAAAAACAGACACTGGAGATAATTTCTGTGTGTGTCGGTGTTATGTACTCAGGTGAATATGATGTTTGTGATGTTACTCTGAGTGTGCATCCACACCGTGACACCGGGCAATTGCAAGCTGAAAAGTTTGCCTGACCACGGTGGGAATCAAACCCGCGACACCTCTGCGATACTAGTCCAATGCTCTACCAACTGAGCTACGAGGTCAACTAGCCCGGTGTGGATGCACACTCAAATCAGTAACATCACAAATCATATCGTACACTGGAGAATTTTTCAAAGGAATGCGAAATGAGGTACCTTTATGTTAAGGACGACATCTCTCTTAACAACGCCCAACGATTTGATAACTTCGTCTCCGTATTCACGAGTATAAACATACTGGGTGCCTCCCCCGTAGTAAATAGCTGACGGTGATTCTTGATCATTCCCGTTTATGATGTGATCCACACCACTTGGCTCACTTGGCTTTCGCACACTGAGTACTAGAAAGAAATAAAAATATTGATTGTTCATGCATTATTTATGAGAATTCTGAAACAACGTCGTGCTCACTGCTACACCGAATGATTTTTCCAGTGTAGCGCTCTTAATTTAAAAAGTTTGTAAAGGACTAATTTATTGTGGAGTTAAACAGAACTTTTGAATTGTCTATGTCTTGTACCATAGCCTATCGAAGGGAAGATGGCTGTCAAACTCATTAGAATAACAATATAACTCATTGTCCATGTTAGTCAACGTTTATTCATAAATACGATCCTAATTCCCCGTCACCTGTGCTATTGTATTTTTGCCAAATCCACCAATAGCAATTTCCCTATTGTTCGAGTCACGGATAGGTAACTTTTCTAAAACATTGCTATTGGTTAGTTGGGCAAAAGTACAATACGCACGTGACGGTAAAAGACCAGATTTATGAATAAACATTGACTAACATAGGTATTGAGTTATACTGTTATTCTAATGAGTTTCACAGTCATCTTCCCTTCGACAGGTTATGCTTGTTCATGGAGTCTAGTGCGAGGCTGTTCTTGCCATAGGTCAAAATGTAAACTTTGAAATATAGAACGTTCAAATAGAGGGATTGATGATAGTTTACGATAAGTCGTTGTCCGATATTCGCTTCTGCTTACTGGTTCTGCTCTATGTTATAACTAGTATCCATGCTTTATATAGTATTCCATTTTATAAATTATTGAGTGAGGTTCGTTTCGTTTACATCTTCCCTTTTGGGCCATTGAATAGTTTATGTTAGTGTTATACTGTGGTCCAATAATGTTGTTAAAACATTGTTTATAAAAATAAACATTAAGATTATCAAATCCTCTTACCTAAAAGATTATCGGAATTGGAACGTTTTCTAACGTTCAGGTTAGATGATCCCTCTGGAACATTCAAAATAATCTCCACATCTAAAAACAAACCAACCAACCAATGAAAACAAGTTTGTGACGTACACTACTTGAAGAGCTATCCCAAAGGACAGAGCAATGACTTTTATTATGTTTTGATGAAAATTATCGTACCTTCTTTCGGGATTCGTTTTATGTTGCCTTCATTTAGCGTACACAAAGTACCATCCCCATCGCATACGCCACAATTATCAAACTTCTTCCCCGAGTCAAGAACGTTATCACAACCAACTTTCTACAGAGATGAAAGTAAATGTTACAACAGGTCAAAATTTCGTGAGAAAAATAGCAGCAGAAGAAAAGAACTAGCAGGATTTTGCATCAGATACACAAATTCACAAGCTATTTCAGATCTGCACACACAAGTTGTCATAAAGCTGTCGATATCAGGATGTTTACTCATTGCTTGTTCCCAGTTGTTGTGACAAGTCTGGAACAAGTTGTTATTACCTTGTTACAAGATTGATGACGGCAACAGACTTGCTACAGGCAGTTCGCAGCAAGTTACTACGAACCTGTTGCCATCAACTTGTTGAACAACTTGTTACGTGCAGACAATTGTTGGAACAACTTGTTGCGAGTCTGTTGGCCTCATCAACGTTGTTACAAGGTGATAACAACTTTGTTCCAGACTTGTCAACAACTGAGAACAAGCAATGCGAAAATATTTTGTTGGCACGCTATGACATTTTTGTGCGTGTATACAAAGTATGTATTTTCTTTATTAATGAGATAGAACTTCGTGAGGAATTAAGCTGCTGGTTGTCTTGACCCCGTCCAGGTTTCCTGGCTTCCATGATACTCACATTCAAGTATAAACGATGGTAATGTTTAAACATAAGTCTTACTTACCCTACATTCCCCATCGATGCAAATATCCAGAGCGGAGTTGTCGTTGCAACGAATGCCATTCTTGATAACATTACCCATCAATATTTTCTTCCTAGATCCGCCTTTAACACACGACACCACGCAAGGGTTCACTCCATCTAAGATGAGAGATTTCTGATCAATCAATTATTATATCAAACTAGTAATATATGTGGGAAAACACAATGACTACGCTATACATTATTATTATTAACACATTCATCTCGTACCTTGGGTATCGCTGGTGTTTTCTTTCCTACAAGGTCCAGTTGTGAAAGTTATATCATCCAAAGCAATATCACTCCAGTAGCTTTGTTTACGATGAGCTTCGATAATGAGCTGCAAAGCAAATAGTATTTACTACAGATTATCCCCACTATCAGTGCAGAAAGAAACCTAAACTAAACTAACTTTATCTACACTGGATAGCTCTATCAGTTCTAAACTGTTCTTCCTAGAGGTCCAGTAAGGATCATCTCTTATTGATCTAGTGTTACTACAGGAGGAAACCTAAATTAAACTAACTTTATTCATACTGGATAGCTCTATTAGTTCTGAACTGTTCTTCCTACAGATCCATTAAGAGTCCTCTGCAAGGACAAATTGATTAAAATTTGGTTAAATTTAGATGAAAATTGGACGAGAAATTAGCAAACGTTGGTCTTGCTTTCCTGGGCGTACGAAACTGGATGCATAATAAGACCATTGCATAATTTACGCCCATATTCTAAAAGCTCACTCGCACTCAACGATTGGCACTTCAATCTGAGCTTCTCTCGAGTGTCAATGCTGTTTTTGAATAACTGGAGGGTTAGTGTCGTACCTTACTATGTGACTACTCACCCGCGCCAGCTATTCAAAAACAGCATTGACACTCAAGAGAAGCTCAGATTGAACCTCCACTCATTGAGTGTGAGTGAGCTTTTAGAATACAGGCCTTATAGTCTCGAGTGCCCTTTATTCAAATACTGAAGCTTAGTATCCACCTCATGACTTACATTATACAGGCTATCTTCTTTAATATCAACTTGAGCATTCAACCAGCGGTCCCCTTCATTAGTATGCCGCGCCCACAATATCCTACGACCAGCAGCATTGCTCCTCACGACTTTCAGACTTCCCATGCCCTTACCAAACATATGGTAGTAGAACGAGAGGCACGCGCGACGGACTCCTAGGTCAGGGCTGGCTATGGCCGCTTTGTCTTTGGGTCTTACTGGACTCGAGGCTTCAAAGTAAATGTATTGACCTGTGTGGAAAAAGTGTGGAGTTTGATTAGGCCCCGTTTACATGAGACCGGAACGAAGTCAAACCGGGACCACTTCGTTTCGGTCATAGTATTATCTATAATAGATGTTTACATGAGACCGGGACGAAAATAACTCAGACCGGTCTCAAGTCATTCCGCCTGCTGGACCGAACCGACTGACTTCAGACCGGCATGAATTCAGACCGGGATGAATGTAAACACAAACACATTTCAGACCGGTCTCGGCTGTAACCTTGACATTGGAACAACACATGCTAACAAAATCCATCTAAAGGGGAATAAATTGAAAATTTTGTGATCTTCGTACCGGTCTCATGTAAACATGTTGACAATTTCAATTTTCATTCCGGTTTGACTTCGTCCCGGTCTCATGTAAACGGGGCCTGAGTTGAAGGGTTCTCGTAGATGGATATTTCGAATTTAAATTTTGTATATTTGTCAGATCTAACCAGGAGCAGTTGCGAAAAATGTTTTGGTATTACTGACTGAAAATTAGAGAATTAAAAAAAATTATTATTATTATTATTAACTATAGGCCCTCTGGCAGAAATGAAACATATGGCCTAGCGTGAAGAATATTCTATTGATATTTATTTTGAAAAACGCTGACTTCCTGAAATAACTAAAAAGCTAAACAAGTCAGTAAGGTAAGCTGAATTAATTCTCATCAATGCTCAAAAATGAGTGTGAAACTCGATAAACAAACAAACAAACAAACAAACAAACAAACAAACAAACAAACAAACAAACAAACAAACAAACAAACAAACAAACAAACAAACAAACAAACAAACAAACAAACAAACAAACAAACAAACAAACAAACAAACAAACAAACAAACAAACAAACAAACAAACAAAACTTACCACGTGTGGAGTTTGTTGTATGATCAACAGAGGGTCCTGTTTTTGAGGTTCTTGTTTTGCCTCTATTCAGTGTCCAATCGCGTTGATCGTCTCGTTTCAAATTTATCCAGGCACAGAAATTATGTTCAAATGTACAGTTCAGATTCACTATATAAAACATTATTAGTGGCAATGACAGTTAGTACATTTAATCCGGCTTTAATTTAAAAAAAACTAACTAATTATATTTACTGACTAATATAACCCTATCGGGGTTAATAACCAGAGAGGCCCAGAAAGTGAGAAAGATACATTTCGTTTTGGTCCAGTAATTTATACAGGAGGAAACGTGAACTAATCTAACTTTATTTATACTAAATAGCTCCATCAGTTTAAACTAAACATCTTTATTTATCCTCACGTGCAAACTTAATCATTAGTGCTATAAAATAAGAGTTCAGAAAAAGATGCAGATTACATTCAGCATTAGATGAAGATGTACGCCCGTATTCTGAAAGCTCACTCACACTCAAAGAGTGAAGATTCAATCTGAGCTTCTCTCGAGTGTCAATGCTGTTTTTGAATAGCTGGAGGGTTAGTGTCGTACTTTACTATGTGACTACTCATCCTCCAGCTATTCAAAAACAGCATTGACACTCAAGAGAAGCTCAGATTGAATCTTCACTCTTTGAGTGTGAGTGTGCTTTTAGAATACTGACGGACGATAGATTCCATTCTACCTGCATTTTCGTCGTAATAGGACCAGGTTCGGTAGCGATCCTTCTTTCTACCAATCACAGCACATTGATTCTTTACTTCGTTTTCGCGCAAAGGAATTGTTTGTTCACAATCCTGTAAATAATAATAATCAGGATATATCGATAATGAAACGAGAATGTAAAAACTTTCTTTACGTTGATGACTTCTTACGTACTTTTATCTTGCAAATTTCTTGCTCTGTTGAATTTCCAACACAATCTTTCCCACCATAACGCGGTCTAGAAAGACACAATAGGTTTTTCACTGTCTCCATTTTATATTTTCCTATGCTCCTTTCTGGATCACTTAACTTTGAAATTCCTTAGCAGGGAAAAAGTTTGAAAGGGATGTATTCAGTTTTCACATCGAAACTTCCACTCAATCCTGATTTCCATATGATCGCGAACGTGTTGCAACTATCGTCAGAGTAATGTTCACGACCGAATGGAAACATGAAAAAAAGACTTGTCGCGACACGCTGGCAACAGTTCACGACAGTTGCAATAATGTCGTCGAGATCAGTGAACTCTAATAATAACGTTATTATTAGAGTTCACTGGTCGAGATCATTGAACTATAAATAAAACTATAATTATAGTTTATTTATAGTTCAATGGTCGAGATAGACTCGAGTTCAATCACAACGACAGTTGCGTCATGTTAAAAACGTGTCGTAACGGTTATTTTTAGTGGAAACACGAAAATGACAGCGTGGCAACAGTTTGTCTTTTTAAAACTGCCGCCAGCTGCTTGTGCGATTCCTGGATACGAAATTAACTACAGCCATATGGAAACACGCATAAAAATCATTCACGACAAACACTTCACGGCACGTTCGCGACACGTACACGTAAACACACACAAGTTGTAACAAACCTGCAGCAGACTTGTAGCAATGCTGTTCCAACCATTAACTTGTCAACAGGATGTGTTCGCACTGCTTGTTCCCAGCTTGTTGACAAGTTGTCAATGGCTTGTTGACAACATGCATGAAATGCTACAAGGTTGTTGAGTTCAACAGACTTGTTACAAGTTGTTCCAACAACTTGTTATCGTCCTGCAATTCAACAATTTGTCAACAAGTTGTGAGTGACAAGCTTGTAGCAACATGATAAAATAGCAGCATTGTTACAACTTGTTGACAAGCTTGCTACAAGCCTGTTGCAAACGTACGCATCTTGTTGACAAGTTGTGAGATTATTATGTGTGTAGGCGACACATTCGGGACAGTTACGACCGACCATATGGAAACCAGGCTTCCCGGAAAACAGCGCTCGTTCTTTTGTGAGGTGACCGATATTTAATAGATAGCTTAAGATCTACGACGTCGACGCCAGCTAGGACGTCAGAGCTAAGCAGAGGACTGGGACTAGGACGTCGTCCTAAATAATAAACTTCCACTTAAGTTTCACGACGTAGACATTTAAACTATAAATATTTACATGCTTTTGAAAATGAATTTAAAAGAGCCGTGTGAATCCATTACCGTTTGTTATGCTCTTGTATTTACGACGGTAAAACTCTTGTTGTGAGGTTGTCGACGTTTGGTGGACGACGAGCAAATTGAGAGAGACACATGCACACTTCAAAAACTATTACCAATTTACTTCTGCTTGCCGCCCTAAATATTTGACGTCGTAGATACTTGAGCTATCGACTTACTTAGGACGACGTCCTTAATTAGCCCTGACGTCCTAGCTGGCGTCGACGTCGTAGATCTTACGCTATCTAATATTTGCCATAATAAACACAACCCACCTCGGGCTATCGCAAGACCTTTTGCGTGTACGAATGCCAAAGCCACACTCTTGAGAGCAAGTGTCCCATTTCTTCCAGTCACTCCAGTTTCCGTGAATAGCTTTTGGCTTTTCTATCGTCTCCGTTCGTCGGATACAGCGACCGCTAATACACCACTAGAACGGAAATAACACTAAAGTTTAGTTAAAGCGCTGGGAAAACGAAAAACACTTTTGCGCCAACATATTTTAAACATAATAAGTTTGTAGACGTTCTCTGGTTTTAAATATTTATTTATTACGAGCTTTAGTCTGCAGTCTTCAACGGATGGATTACAATGAGATTGTGACAATTACAACGGTTTACAATTACATATAGATGCAAAATGACAAATATGACAGTTCCGCCTATGTATCCTGTATCGCCCATTAATCATGTATATAGGCGGAACGGTCATTTTTTGTCATTTTGTATCTATATGTAATTGTAAACCGTTGCAATTGTCACACTGTCATTGTAATCCACCTGTTGGACTGCAGACTGGCAGTCGAAAGCTCGTAATAAATATTTAAAACCATAGAACGTCTACAAACTTAATTATGAATAATCCAGGTTTCCCTCAAACATATTTAAATATTTTAAACAGTAAAACAGTTAAAAACAAGTTTTCGAAGATGGACAATCATTAGCCTGTAAAATAGAAGATTACACTATGGGGTTTCGGTGGCGAAGTGGTTAGCGCACTTGCCTTTCACCTCTAAGGCGCAGGTTCGAATCTCAGTGACAACTTCTCAATGTGACTCGAACCCAGTCCTCATGTGAAAAGAGTAAAAATCAACGCTCTGCCGAAAGTCGTGGGTTTTCTCCGGGTAATCCGTGTTTCCTCCCACAGGGAAAGTTGACAGGGTGGGTTAGGCACATAGGTCTGGAGGCAGATCATTAATGAGGTATGGACTAATAGCGGCTGCTCAAGCGCCATTTGTAAGCTCAAAGTGTACCTCGGTCTGCTTCACGTCAGTCCGGTTCTATCTAGCTATTCATAATGTAACCAGTCACTGAAAAGCCCTGATAGGGAGTGTGCTGTGAAATATCTGTATCTGTATCTGTATCTGTATCTGTACTAATGCTTTGCAGGGTGTGAAGGTCGACGTGGAACTTTGTAAAAGGGAAACAGGTTTTGGTAGGTGATGATGATCATGGGGATGCTAGTGATCATGGATGGTGGGTGGAGTAAATCCATTTACCAAGTCAAATCCGAGTGAAAGTGAGTCACGTGAAAAAAGACGAAATTGAATAAAATTTACAATCAAATAGGGGGTTAGGGTACTAAGTCATTGAACTACAAAGACCGCTAAACAGTGACTCGGGCATTTGACTCATGCAGGCACGGATTTGACTCGGTTAACCGACAAACTCATGGTGATGGTGGTGAATGGTGATGATGATGATCATGATGATGATGACAGTGAAGATTATGCTGATGGTGGTTAAGGGTTACTTTACCTTTCTTATTCCACATTCAGTTCCATTCAAAGCCGGAGCTCTCATACTTTTACACAAATGCTTGTAAGGCGAGGGCATATTGCACCAGAGTACTCGGCATGGATCGCGACGGAACTAAATAATTTAAAAATTCAGAGTCAACCGTCAAACTTATTTACTCTTCATAATAGTTTAGTCTCGATCTGTTTCAAAATGAACGTTGGGAGCACAGGCTGCAAAGCACTCGAAGATCACTGAAGATTTGCGATCAAATCGAGATTGAAGAATCGCCTTGATTTGCGATCAAATCAATTCTTTGATTTGCAAAGATCAAGATTTGCGATCAAGGCCATCAAATCAAGATTTGCGATCGGCTATAGACTAAATTTTGATCAAGGCAAGAAGAAATCCAACACCACAGCTAGAAAGCGCGTCTTAGAATGAGTAAAACGGCAAAGATTGGTTGCGAAATGTTGTAAAATGAAGAAAATATAGCCCTGTGAAGCAGACATTCCAACCACTGGAGGTAAAAATTAGGGAGACTGTTCAGTGAATTGAAATCTAGTTCTTCTGGGGGAAAATAATAAAAATTAAGTCTTCTGAAATGGCGTTTCCTGCATTTTGGGAATATGTTGTTATAAGTGATCCTATAAATTGCCATAAAGCAACTTCAAAAAGGTCAAGACAGACTATTATGTTGCTAAAAACAGTATATTTATCATTTTTTATGATATTTCCTGAATATTCTGATAAATCGGGAGAATTTGATAAAAATCGGGAGACCGGGAGATTGCATGAATTTTCGGGAGACTCCCGGTAAAATCGGGAGAGTTGGAATGTCTGGTGAAGTGTGAAGTTCGCAAAGTTTGTATATGTTTGTATTACGCGCGGTGAAAATGGTTATTTTTCCCGGGCGTAATGCAAATATATACAAAATTTGCGAACTTCACAGGGCTATATTCACTCATTTTACACCATTTCGCAACCAAACATTGCAATTTTACTCATTTTAAGATGCTCCTTCCACCTATGGCAATGGATTTCGTTGTTCTTGTCTAGATCAAAATTTTGTCTATACCTGCAATCATCCATTCGCCATGTACTTTCGAGCAGAGCACTCAAACATCTTAATACTTACAACCGTGCAGGACTTGTATCCCTTGCCGAAATCAAACAGACATTGATCGTCAGTCGAGTAATGAACCCCAGGATATCTGTGTATGAATGGCAGATCTTCCTTGTGCTTTTTGCCAGGTTTGTCGTTCAGGCAGATAAAATTCCTGGAGAAAAAACATTGTGAAAATGGCCGTTTTTAGAGACGCGTTATGCGTCTGGACGCATAATGCGTCTTCTATATTATTCGTTTAGTATAAAGACGGGACGAATAATTCGACGAACTATCAGCATATATTGTTCGTCTGGTTATGCGTCCTCCGTATAAAGACGGGCACAAGACGCATTATGCGTCTGGACGAACTATTATCGGTTGTGCGTCTCTTAAGACGAAGAATCGAACATAGTTCGTCCAGACGCTTAATGCGTCTTCTGCCCGAGGACGCATAACCAGACGAACAACAAATGCTTGCCCAAGTTCGTCCAGACCCATTATGCGTCTCTAGTTTAAAAACGGCCAATGATTACTCACTACTGGTTTTAATTGGCGATACAGCACCGTGTAAATTGGTCAAACATTTGGTCACCTAGCAAATCCATGCTTGTGAACCTTCATACTAGATAACTTAAAAAGCTCAAGTTCCCTCGATCGTTACATTAATCCGACTTAAGGTTGTTTCATAAAAAAACAAAAACTTCACATCCTTCGTATTCTGGATTCGCTTTCTCTCAAGGGCAAACAATTCCTTTCCCTGATGTTATATTTTCTTAAACGTTCGAGAGAAAAGCTAGCAAGGTTTCGTAAAAATATTTCTGGATACACATGACGATACCATACCAAAACGCAAGCTCGAAGACTTCCCTGTGGCCACTATTTGGTAAAACAAAGACTTTCATCCGTCCTACCTGATACTGCCCATAAGTTCTTTACGACTACACGTAGACCACATAAAACGGCCTAATCTGGACTGAACAAGAGGCGCCATGATGCTACCGTGACTTGTTACAGAAGCACACCTGTTTCTTTCCCCGTCGTGTTCCATGCCAAGCCTGGAATAAATTATACCAAAAATTTAAGATCGTGACAATATATATTAATACATACATGCCTGATTAATCCTTAGCTTAAACAAACTACCAAATATTGCTTTTCTGAAACAATAAAGCATGGTTTCCTAACCATATTTCACAAAGGTGGACAAACCAGGAAACATTGTTTCCTAGCACATTATTTCTTAGCCATGTTTCCTAAAGGTGGAAAACCAGGAATCATTGTTTCCAAGCCAGGACACATTGTTTCCTAGCCATGTTTTCCAAAGGTGGACAAAAAAAGGAAACGTTAACAATATTTTCCGAAGATGGGAAAACCAGGAAACATTGTATCCTAGCCATGTTTTCTGAAGGAGGAGAAACCAAGGAACATCGTTCACTAGCCATGTTCCCTATGGGTGGACAAACCAGGAAATTAATCATGTTTTCCGATAGTGGGCAAAACAGGAAACATTGTTTCCCTAGGACATTGTTTCCTAGTCATATATTCCGAAGTTGGAAAACCAGAAAACATTGTTTCCTATAGCCATATTTCCCGCTAAGGAAATGGGCAAACCAGGAGACTTTTTTCCAACTGTATTTCCTGAAGCTGAGCAAAGTAGGAACCAATACGAAATTTGTTTATTTTCTCCTGATATTGAACTGATCAATTTGAATTCTGCCTAATGAATTGAAGGAATGAGTACTTACGAGTGACCAACTTCGTGAGCAATTATAAATGCGGACGGAAAACCATCTTCCTGATTCAGAGAGCAACTTCTCACCGGATGACACATCCCGTAGACAGGGGCATAGCCAGCTATACAAAACGAGAAGAGATGACATTAGATGTACATACGTAAAAACGTGCAAGTTGTTATAGATCTGCACACAAGTTGTAACACGGTTGTTGTCAAGCCGATGTCAGGATGTGTTCGCACTGCTTGTTCCCAGTTGTTGTGACAAGTCTGGAACAAGTTGTTATCACTTTGTTACAAGTTGTCCCAACAAGACTAATAACACAGACTGTTTGTAACAAGCTTGTTTTCACCAACTTGTTACGTGCAGACGATATTAGAGACCTTACGATTTAGGACAATAATGCGACGACAACGGCTACCAATACAATAAATCATTGAAATGAATTGAATAATTACAATATATGAATAATTTAGACATTGTCCTCGCTCTGTTTACAACACCAAATCACAGATTTTCACGTCTTGATACAACGGCTGAATTTCAAGCCGCAACAAGTGCAACTTCAAACTGGGTTCAGCAGAACTCTTCCCAACCATAAAACCCATGTCTTCAACTTCTAAGACTGTATTAAATTCATATACGATTGAAATATACGACGAATTATCTTTACTACCATTTATTTGAAGGAGTTTGTTTTGGCCGTCGTCGTCGCGTTACCGTCATAAAATCGGACTAGCATACTGGTTGAATTGGTTGAATGTCTCTATTGGAACAACTCGTTGCGAGTCTGTTGGCCTCATAGACCTTGTTACAAGATGATAACAATTTCTTCCGGACTTCTCAATAACTGGGAACAAGCAGTGCGAACACATTTATATTTCTACGTGGGTATGAGATAAAACGTTAACTACTTCAGGCGTTGAAGAAAGATAATTGAAACTACCTACCAGCAGTACCAAACTGTTTTCTATAATGAAAATAAGAAAAAAACCATCATGAAACTTTGTGCAATTGTAGTAAAAATGAAATTTATAATACTTTTGTTTGTGGAAACACCACGTAAATTTATTACTGCAAAGCTTTCGATCCGTAAGCCCGGATCTTCATCAGTGCCAATAATATTTTGTTCGTGGTGTTACTAATTTTGGGGTGGTCTTTTTAGTCATTTGGTTCATTTCTTAATTTGGGCACTTTTTAACTCTCGTCCCCAGTCCTCTCATCAACTTCGGAATGGCTAATTACAGACAGCAGCAGTACATACCTTGTCAAGAATGTTGCATGGTCATGAAACTTTGGGTCGTCATCTGTTCGGCCTTGTCTTATCCTGTACATGAACTCACAAGCTGATAACAAACTCTTGTTTGGGTTACTTCTATGTAGCACTACACCTTCCTATTCGGTGAATAAAGATGAGAAAATAATGTAAACAAACATGCGAACAGACATGGATACAAAACATATAGACACTAAAACAACAAACGCGAAACAAGCAAAATAACAAACCTAACTAACAAACATACACAAGCAAGCAAGCTAACAAAAAACACGAAGAAACAAGCAAAGTGATAAACCAACCAAATTTATAACAAAACAACAAACGAAAAAAATAAACAAACTGTAGAATAAACACAGCAACACTGTAAGCACACCCCATAGGAAAAGTATATGTAAAACCTTTTGAACATGAAGAACTCACCGGATCTTTATGTAACAAGACAATTCTGACAAGAACGTAATTAATGTCAAATCCAACCGTTTTGTGTTTGAATATGAATGAAACCTGGCAACAAATAAATGGTGAAGAGTATATCACATCCATTTAAAGTTAACCTTTCAATCATTTTGACCAATTAAACTCATTTATAAATTTTATAACTTTATAGCAACACAAAATACAATTCAGTGAAGGATAAAGATCTTAATTCCGATTGTTTTATTAATTACCAGTTTATTAGAAACGTTCAAAGGCATGCTAATGGTGGAAGATGAATCAGACGGTGTATAATATAAAAAAATTGGCCAAACAGCAACAAACAGGAAACATGTAAGTTATTAAATAGTAAATCGTTTTTTGCTAGGCAATCTGATTGAGTCAGATACTAAGTTTGAATGCCAGCCTGACTCTCTGTCTACTGTGTGATATAATTACCAATGATATAATTAATAACTATAATTTAAAAATTCATTAATAATTCACGAGGAAAATACAAAAGAAATGAATGTTTAATCAATGTTTGTAAATCGGATAAAGATTTGTCCTGATTTACATAAACTTCAGCTTTGATTTTCTCGGCACAGACAATGTTTATTTTTAAAATTACTTTAAATTACTTTAGTTCGGCTCGAGTTTGTATATCAGATACAGATCGGCTGCTCATGTTTTATCTAGTATTTATTAATGGAGCTAAATGCCCAAATGGCAAGCAGAATTAATGAATTAATGAATTACTAGTACATGCAGCATACCATATTCATCAAGGCGAGTACATAACGTGACACTCTTTCCTTCCCATGGAATTTAACAACAGATTTATCAGCGACGGTCATCGACTCGATGTATTTCTTTCCTATTTTGGCACGGATTTCTTTCTCGCTTGTTGGAAGCAATTTCATTCCACCTTGCAACAAAATAATAACCAACTGAGCTACACAGGCCAGTTGTCGTGCTCTAACCACAAACATGGGCAAATATAAAGACTTTGGGCATCTATACACTCGATATAACTAATAGATGATTCATGCAGCTATGGACAATAAATTTTGATCTAGGCAAGAAGAACAAAATCCATTACCAAAGCTTCATGGTATATAGAGCATGTTAAAATTAGTAAAATTGCAAAGTTTGGTCGCGAAATGTTGTAAAATGCGGAAAATATAGCCCTACGAAATTTGCAAATTTGTATTAATTTGTATTACGCACGGGAAAATGCACCACTTTCGGCCCAAATGTGGTGCACTTTCCCGCCCGTAATACAAATTAATACAAAATTTGCAAATTTCGCAGGGCCTATATTTTCCGCATTTTACAATTATATTTCGCAGCCAAACTTTGCAATTTTACTAATTTTACCATGCTCTTTCTAGCTCTTGTGATGGATTTTGTTCGTCTTGTCTAGATCAAAATTTAGTCTACAGCTGGAATTGCCCATTGTAGATGGTTGAAATTTCGAGAGTTATGCATGTATTAACTTAAAAATTCAGAAAATTTCACTCTATATATATATATATACCAGCGCAGACGAAAGTACGCCTTGATTTTCGAGCAAGTATTTTGCATGCGGCCACCAAACGTGTAGTGCAAATAGCCCTGGTGCAGAACTATTATCATGTGGAATTTCATGGCAATGTAATCAATAATTTTGGAATGGCAACAAAATCCCTTAAAATAATTAGCTGTCCGCCATCCCAGCGGGCAAAATGACGTTTATCCAACGTTGGAAATGACCTTCCAGACGTTGGATAGACGTTGAAAAAGGGTTGACTATGCAAGTTGGATCGACGTTACTGTTTCGACGTTGAAACAACGTTGAAATTAGGTTGCCAATCTCGTCAACCATAATTCAACGTTGAATCCACGTTAAAACAACGTTGAGATTGGTTCACAAATCGACGTCGTACATTTAACCATGAATGAACGTTAATTCAACGTCTGTTGGCTGTTGTTGAACCAATGTTTGTAAAACAACGTCAGAGCAACGTAGATATTAGGTTGTCGACGTCGCAACCTTTTTTCTACCAAATTTCAACGTTGAAACAACGTCGTGTGCCCGGTGGGATCTTGGATACATTTTTATGTCATTATCGGTGATGTTAGTGACGTCAAAAGCGTGGCTAGCCATATAAAACTATACATCTAAATGACCAAATAACAGTAAGTCTTGTTTGAAAAGTTGTCAGTCACTTTCTTATTTGAAACAGTTACCGAAGCACGATTTTGAGCTCATAATAACCATGCAATTGTTCTCTGGATAAAATACTTGCGTGACCCTGCTTATGACGTAACATGCACATCCGCCAAAATCCAAGATGGCGGAATGCTCGCTGATTTGTGTTTTTTTTCTGTCAAAATATCTCAAGAAATAATAAAGTTACGCAAAATCGGTAAAGGAGATTTACTTATGATTTTAAAAGTTCTTCCAAATGAAATAACAAAAAATTATGTTGCTATATCCTTTACTTACGTGGTAACGTGATAAAAACGTTCGTCCTTCTTGTCTGCTTATTCTTCCTAGGACTATATTCTTGTTTATTCCCAACCAACAGTACTTGCTCAGTTTCCTCGTCTACAGCCAACCATCTGTGTGAAGTGAAAGTGTTCACTTTTCTTGAAGTTCCGGGCATCAACGAGGCAAAATAGGTACGCTTTTTCCTTCTGTCTACCCACATTAACTAAATCGAGATGAAAGAATTCAAAATGATATAGAAGATACTTTAACAGGAAATTCTCTTCGGAACTTTGATTCACATAAAAAATAAGCCACCAACAGACTTGTTAAAACACAGTTTTTCATTTTGAATAGCTGGAGGATTACGCCTGTACTCTAATTCTCTAAAAGCTCACTCACACTCAATGAGTGGAGGTTCAATCTGAGCTTCTCTTGAGTGTCAATGCTGTTTTTGAATAGCTGGAGGGTAAGTAGTCACATAGTAAGGTATGGAACTAAACCTCCAGCTATTCAAAAACAGCACTGACACTCAAGAGAAGCTCAGATTGAACCTCCACTCTTTGAGTGAGAGTGTGAGTTGAGCTTTCAGAATACAGGCGTTAGTGTGGTACCTAATTACTATATGTGACTATACTCACCCTACAGCTGTTCAAAAACAGCACTGACACTCAAGGATGCTCAGATTGAACCTCCACTCTTTGAGTAGGAGTGTGAGTTGAGCTTTCAGAAAACAGGCGTAAAACTTAGGCAAAATATTAACTTGGGCGAAACTATAATCATGTATCATACCTTAATCATCCGTCCACTTCTGTTGATAAACGTGAGGAAGCTGAATTGAATATTTCTTCGTCTCGATGTCTGTCTGGAGTTTGCCGGCTCTACGTGGAACAGAACAGGAATAGTTGTGGCGCCACCTGGGTTTTAATTGCGGAGAGGGGGGAGCAACTTCATAATTTGTGAATCACAATTCTAGGAAGATCTGGGGGCATGCTCCTCCGAAACAAAGAATTTTGGGTCACTGAAACGGCATTTCCAACCTGCATTTTGAAGGCACTTGTAAAGGTCTTAATAACCCACATTTTAAATTAACAGTGTCTAACAATGATTTCATGCAGAATACTTGACAATATATTTCAGTGGGTGACATAGTCACATAGACCTTTGTATCTTAAAACAAAGTTCAGCTAACCTCTGTGTCATGCCTGAGTTGGTATAGCACGTCAAAAAATAAAATACATTGTGACGTCACATGTATGATTGATTTTTGGACAGTTTTTAATTTTTGGACAGATGGCGCACTACGCTATTGCATTATATTAAATAATGACTTTTCAGCGCTGTTTCATTATATGATATAATAAAAAAAGTTATTTTACATTATATCATATCATGAATCAATATTTGATATCACAGTGTAACGCACAACATTGTATCAATTATCAAATCAGGACTTACACAAATGCTCGTGGTTTTATATAATGACTTTTTCGAAATGTCATGATATCATATCATGACTTAACGAAAATTCATGACATGATATAATGCTTAATGTTAATAACATTATATCAAATAATGACAAAAACGAATAAGTCATTATTTGATATAATATCTGTTCGTTTATCAATTATTTATATATGACATTTTTAGTCATGATCATGATATAATTAACGTTAAATAATTTTTGGACACATGGCGTTCCATGTTGCATGCAGTGGCGTAATGCTCACCCGTTAGGGGCCATAGCAACCGAGGGGGCTGCAGGTTATTTGATACAATGTAAACTAGCGATAATCTGTAAAATTTGAGAGGGAAATAACGACCTTCCAATCGCCCCTAACCAATCAACCCCCCCCCAATACAAAAGTGCTTCCTACGGTAGTGGCACCACCAATCAATCATCCAATTACCATACATGACTTACCTATCCTAGTGAGATCCAGACCATCAAATCCTAGGTCATATTTTGGCAGCTGACTGTGTCTGTAGATCAAGTGAGGTCTACCAGTTCCATTGAGTTTATCTTTGTCGACGTAAGAGTCATTGACAAGTGGTTCTATATAAAGCATGTCCTCATCCGTGTTCACCACGCCATACTGAAACAAAGACGGCAAAATTAGCATAACATGCATTAATTATTTTGTCTTAAAGCTAGTTGATGAACAAATCATCAAACCACGACATGATTTTCTATCAAAATACTTACACTGGAAAAAAATTAGTGAGATTCATACTATGGAATTTGGACAACTTGCATGTTACACTAAATTTTAATCTAAGTAAAGAGAAGGGAATCAAACGCCACAGCTAAAAAGAACATAATGAAATTAGTAAATTTGCAAAATTTGGTTGCGAAATGTTGTGAAGCTTGGAAAATATGACTGCAAATTTTGTATATGTTTGTAGTATTAGGCGTGCGGAATTGTTACCATTTTCGGCTCAAAAATGGTGCAAAATATGCAAAATTCGCAAGGCTATTATTTTCCGAATTTTACAACATTTCGTAACCAAATTTTGCAATTTTACTAATTTTAATAAGTTCTTTACGGAAATTTTTTCCTAGATCAAAAATTAGTCTAACATGCAAGTTGTCAATTGCATCACTAATCCATATAGTATATATATATATATATATATTATATATATATATATATATATATATATATATATATATATATATATATATATATATATATATATATATATATATATATATATATATATATATATATATATATATATATATATATATATATATATATATATATATATATATATACTATATATATACTATATACTATATGGATTAGTGATGCAATTGACAACTTGCATGTTAGACTAATTTTACATACTATTTCCAGACTAACATACATACTATTTCCTACTATATAAGTATGAAAATTGGATCTCCACACTACTTTCAAGTTTCAACTATATAGATATATGAAAATTGGATTTCCATATATACTACTTTCAACTATATAGATCCATACTACTACTTTCAACTATATAGATCCATACTATTTTCATAGTATAATGATTTTGAATAAAATTTCTAGTGTTATATTCACACTTTTTCCTTTTTTACTATTTAAGACAGATGTTAGCCCAAAGCGGTCATGCGTGGTAAGGCTATTAATGTGAACGGCAAAATTAAAATATAATTTTAACAACAAAGTGCCGCGAAGGATAACGCGATTATAACGCAATAAATATAACAGCTGAAATATGTATTTCGAAACTTTTTTTTACGTTTTGGTAAAACAAGTATGTACACGTTTTCACGCAATTTTTCTCCGAAAGCGAACATAGAAAACAAATAGAATTATCTGTAGCGTTGACTGCGCATTATCAAATGACGCGTAGGGATAATTTGCACGCAATTGAATCATAACATGTAGTTAAGACTGGATTCAAAACATACGCATCAAAGTCTGTATATATTAATATTACAGTGGCGCATATTTTAACTTCTTTAAAAATCAAAATACAGAAGTATATATAAATGTGTTTTTATAAACGGGTTGATATTTTGATACAATTGAATCATAAGATCAATGTAGCTATAGTTGAGACTGGAAAGTTTAAAACATACGCATCAAAGCTTGTATTAATATTACAGTGCATGCATGACTCGTATTTTAACTTCTTTAAAAAGCAAAATACAGAAGTATATATAAATGTGTTTTTAACGGGTTTATGTAGCCTAGCTACCATATAAAGCGAGTCAACCATCCAAAAAGAAACCATTTGAAACTTGATTGTAAATTGCATGGCATTTGTTTTGAAACACATTTTAGTCCAACTATACGGCTATTTTATTTTTAGATTCATTTTCAATTTCGATCAGGTCCATTGTTATAAGGTATCCACGCACGCAGCATAAAAGAGGTGCCGCGCTTTTCAAATTTAATGCGTTTTGGCAAGTCGTTTACACGGCGTATTAAATCTGTACGATTCATCAATCTTATGGTTAATTTATAATCGTCGCAGTACTATAACATATTCAAACATAATTGGCCAGAAATCAAAAATACAAGTGAAAACTTGAACAACGTCAGGGAAGTCAGCTTATATACATAAAAGCAAGAGCTTGGACCTTGGTATAAATGAAACAAAAAAATTATTGTGGCGAAAAATGTAATTATACAACGAAATTGAAGATTTAGTTGGATTTAATATCACAAAAGGTTTGTTTATAATTATTACTTGGGTAAAGCATGAATGATAATCTCCAGACGTTTTACAATATGTTTTGCACATACAATGTATATCGAAACTTAAATACTGCCTACCATATTATATGTTATTATATAATATATATATATATATATATATATATATATATTCATACATAGTTCATAATTACATTGACATTCAGTATATAGTTCATAATTTCCAGTCTTAAATCCGTCTGACCGTGTAGCTCAGTTGGTAGAGCGTCGATCTAGTAATTCGAAGGTCGCGGGTTCAAAACCCAGCCGCGGCAGGCAATATCTTTGTGCCTGCGCGCGGTCTGCAAATTATGAAATACTATATATATATATATATATATATATATATATATATATATATATATATATATATATATATATATATATATATATATATATATATATATATATATATATATATATATATATATATATATTATATAATATATATATATATTATATAATATAATCTGTACGATTTATCAATCTTATGGTTTATTATTAGAGACCTGATGTGGTTAACTGATATGGAGACCTGATATGGTTTAATAGAACTGATATTGTTCACTATATCCAGTGTATCAAGCTAGCTTAATGGCCGTAGTTCAATGCACTTCAATCAATCACATACTTTACTAAACACTATCTATAGAAAAGTATTTTGTTGACAAGCTTGTCCAGACAAGAAATCTAAATGCTAATTGGGTCTAAACTGTCTGTGCCAGTGCAGGTTGTGCCAATAATGTTAATATATAATTGGGTCTAAATCTGTCAGGGTTTAAAATTATAGAGCTGTCAGTCTTATATATACTGTGTCCGCGATGTTAAATGAAAAATGTCAATATGGCCTAAATCTTACTTAAATCCTACTATACGTGGTGGTCCAGTGTAGGTATAATATTCTACAATAAGCTACCGTGGTTTGTGTCCATGAACTACCTGCATGAAAAAGATATCTCAAACGTGGTGGTCCAGTGTAGGTAGTGTTCTATACAACTGTCGTGATTTGTGTCCGAAGTACCTGAAAAAGACTTACTTATACTCATAAATATTTAACCAATGGCAATTAGCCCACTTGCAGCAAAAACGAAATTGCATTTCTTAAATTTAAGTAAAATATATCCCTTTTGACGTGCATGTGACAAGCCAATAATGAAATACACAGACAATCGACAAACATTAGTTGAATAAGCCCTTTTGATTAATGTTAAGTCGATAGCTTTGGCAGCAACAAAGCACCCGTGCATTTTACATCAAAGTGGCATAATTAACAAAGCACCGGCACTAGCAAGGGTAATTGAGATTTACTATTTTTAAACACTTTTCTCTAAATCATTCATTTCGCGAAAGAGCTTTAATTGGATTCTATTTGAGTTTTGATTTATTATGTTTCGTAGCAAAGAAGCGTGTCACAAATGCTCACTTGGCAGCGGCGAAAGAGCGTGCCTGATTAACGGTCAAATATCCTCAAGACGTTTCTCAGTAAAAGTTTCAGCATTCATCAAGATCCAAGTTAATTTCTTTTCAAAGGTAACATGTGCGAACTGCAATTACATATGAAGATAAATATGCCTTAAAATGTATCAATAGCCCTTTAATAGTGGATTCTCAACTGCGATATATAAATACGAATAATCCTTTGGATATATGTCACAATTCGTGCTTGCTGCCACTTTGACTCTTTCTTTCCCATATGCATTCGTTCTTCTGCTCAACGTATATGTACATTCGATGCATTTTGTGTATCTTCATCGTGTTCTTTCAAACGTTTCTTTCCCATATGCATTCGTCAATTCTTCTGCTGAACGTAACATTCCCTTCTGTGTATTTTCATCGGGTTCTTTCAAACGTTTCAAACCATTTTCCAAGTCTCTAGAACATATACACTGCTTCCTTATATTCGCATGATATAAACTACGTGTATCGTTTATCTTCGAGTGTATTTCTTTTACTTGTTGCTATATACAGTATATACAGTTCCAACATTCCTAAAGAATGCTTTTCTGCATGCCGAAAAGCCTTTCCTCTGCGAAATAACGCCGATTCCTAAAACTGTATTTTCTTTCAATGCAAACATTCTTATCTTTTTGAAACTGAGTCATTCAATTTTTCTTTTTTCTGGAACTATATGAAACCATATTTGTTTTGGACAAAAAATTTTTGTAGCAACAAAAAAACCCAGCCATACCCATTTCAGTACAACCATTCGTTGAACATGAATTTGCAAAAGGAACAGTTTGCTCTGAGTGGATAAGGAAAATTGGAAGGCGTGGTTTCAAAACGAAATATACACAGATTATGCATGGTCACTAAGGGTTTACGGTTTATCTCTGCGAGTGAAATGAAATCCACTGCCCTATATATATTTGCTATCCTTGAAAGGTATAATGTAGAGTTTTGCCATCCGATCATCTTCCTCCCATCTTACTACCAAATCGCTAAGAAATACGGTTTTCTATATAAATTTCTTTTCATTCATACTTTTAGGCCAACCAAAAGCGAAAGGACAGCTGAAGAGTTGAAGACAATTTAGTAATCGCCGCAGGATTCGGACTATTGCTGATTCAAAAGGGTGTCTGGAATTGTAGAAGGTAGCTCGCGTAGCTTTCAGCGCCGCACGTAAGAAATCACAGTTTCACCTTCTTCTCTTATTAAGAGGCATAAAGGAAGACGACTTTAATTTAGCTTTACAAGACGCAAAGGGGAATCTATCGTCTTGCAGAAACGCTTTTTCCTTTTTAAAGAATCGCACAGGAAGATTTTTGCAACGGAAACAAAGAAGAACGCCTCTCGCCAGGAAACGTTGATTTGTTTTTTAGAAGGAAAGGTTTTACAAGAAGCAACGAGAGTCAGTCGTTCTCAAAAATGAGTAACATAACCTGTCCCAATACCACCAACATCACAACGGCATCGCATTTCAACATAACTTTACACAATTTTAATTGTACAAATGGGTCGGCGACGGACAATCCAACATCTACTTGGACGTATGACTTGTATTCAAGCACTGCGAAAATAGTCGCATATTCAACGGTGTACAGTATTGTCTCAATCATTGCTTTGGCAGGTAGGTTTACCAATAGACCTTTCCCCTTTTAAGTGAAATTTTGATCTAGACAAGTCTGGACAAAATTTTCATCACAGCTTGAAAGAGCATCACAAAATTAGTAATATTCTAAAGTTTCGTTGCGAAATGTTGTAAAATGCGGATAATATAGCCTTGCGAAGTTTGCCGTTTTTCAGTCATTTTGCATTACAAATGGGAAATTGATAATCAGATGATCAAACTGATTATCAATTTCCCATTTGTAGTACAAAATGACTGAAAAACGGCAAATTTCGCAGGGCTATATCCGCATTTTACAACATTTCGCAACAGCTAAATTTTGGACTGTATTACTAATTTTGTGATGCTCTTTCAAGCTGTGGCGAACATTTTGCCCATGCAGACTTGTCTAGATCAAAATTTCACTTAAAAGGGGAAAGGTCTATTTGCTGAGTATACGAATAAGCAACTAGGGTTACTGAAAGGCAAACAACACAAGCGAGAACACATATATTATAGGCACAGTTCAACTTCACGACAAAAGAACTTGCTTAATAAGTCACTTGGTCTTTCTTACGACATCGTTTAACAACTGATTTAAGCAAATATTCAACCTAGTCTTCCAAATTTGCATGCACGATATACGATTATAGTTAACAAGCAACGCCTCTTCTTCATCTTAGGTAATTTCATGGTTTTCCTTGTAATGGCCATGAACCGTACGATGCATACCGCAACAAACGTATTGCTTCTCAATCTGTCCCTATCTGATATCTTGTTTGTCCTGTTTTCTGTGCCTGGTTTGCTGACGATGGAGATATGCAACGGTCGCTGGCCTTTCAGTGAAACCATGGGGAAGATGACGCAACAAACAACCATTCTCGTTGCGGCATCCTCAGTATTCACCATGATGGCCATAGCGTTTGAAAGGTAAGAAATAACTGTCCTGTTTTTACGTTAAATCAGTTTAAAGGTGATGTAAAGTCCGTAATGTAAACAAACGCTTTGTTTACATTTTGAACTCAGTGCTACAGTTGTAAAATATGATTAGATATATATTATACTGAATTTTGAACACTCTTCTGGTTCGCTATGCTTGTAAATGAATGCAGACTAGAGATTCAATTCAAGAAAGTTCGGAAGGTGCGAAATATTGACAACATTCCGAAGGTTGCTCCCCCATTGATGGAATGTGTTGATGCGCAGAACATATGCGCAGAACGGACTTTACAGCATCTTTAAAAGTAAACGAAGGCTGGTTTTATACACTATCAAAGTTTCTTTGACCACAGTAGGAATTTTACGTAGGTAAGTTCTAAGTTTTTAGGAATTTAAGAAGAAATGTTTGAGCATAGTTAACAGAGGCTGACTCGGTGTTTAACATGCACTGGGTCAGTTGCCTCAAACATTTCTTACAATCCTTCAAAACTTAAAATTTACCTGTCAAAAATTTCTACTATGATCACAGAAACTTTGATAGTGTAAATCAGGCTTAAGTAAGTGGGGGGTGTTGTTATCATCCTTACTTACAGCTAAGAATTCTAAGGGCGCCTTTGGCAGCCACCATATGGCTCGTGTTTGATCACGGAACATAGATACGGTGGAAGAGTCGGCTGGGGGATAGTCCAAGCCCACCCTGTCAACATTCCCATGTGGGAGGAAACCACAGAACTCGGAGATAATCCATCACTTTCGGCAGAGCGTTGAATGATTCTTTTCATATAAGTCCGCAGCGAGAATAGACCTTTCCCCTTTTAAGTGAGATTTTGATCTAGACAAGTCTGGACAGAAGTTTCATCACAGCTTGAAAGAGCATCACAAAATTAGTAATATTCCGAAGTTTCGTTGCGAAATGGTGTAAAATGCGGATAAGATAGCCTTGCGAAGTTTGCAGTTTTCAGTCGTTTTAGATTACAAACGGAAAATGATAATCAGTTTGATCATCTGATTATCAATTTCCCATTTGTAATCAAAATGACTGAAAAACGGCAAACTTCGCAAGGCTATATTATCCGCATTTTACAACATTTCGCAACGAAACTTTGGAATATTACTAATTTTGTGATGCTCTTTCAAGTTGTGATGAAATTTTTGTCAAGACTTGTCTTGATCAAAATCTCACTTAAAAGGGGAAAGGTCTATTGAACCCACGATCTCAGAGGTGAAAGCGGTTGCTTTGACGATTGCGTAGCCTGCGAACAGGCTCTCAAGCTGAATTGAGAGCCTGCATCGATGACTAATGAATTTGAATATCTGCGTCTCAAATCGTGACGCGAAATTCTCATTGGTCAGATGCTATAATTTATATGTTTCCGCTGAGTTCTATATATGTCAACTGCTGAAGCACTATGCATAAAAACACATTAACTGATCAAATTGGTCTTGGCCATCTTATCTCAAAGCACGAAATGTTCTGTTTTGAGAAAACAGTATTTAAAACATTGGAACTTTTGCTTGAATATCTTATATTTCGAAAAACAGTATAAACTGTACGGTCTAAATTTAGTTTGCACGGTCTAAATTTAGTTTGCACGAAAGTTGTAAACAACACCATATAAGGATAGACATTCCATATTTGGAAAAACGAACGTTACGGGGCAGATATTCAAATTCATTAGTCATCGATGCAGGCTCTCAATTCAGCTTGAGAGCCTGTTCGCAGGCTAACGATTGCGTCAACGAAGCCCCAAATAAGGACCTTGTACTCAATGTACTCGTCCGTACGACACTGCTTTGCGTTAATGAGTTGACAGTCCAAACAACAGCGTATATAATCTGGCTTAGGTTAACCGACATAGTCAAATTATCTTGCTGTTAATTGGGTAATGACTGTTTCTAGCTGCTTTGTACATCACTGAGACAACTTTCCTTCGTGAAATACGACTGGGAAACAACGTATGAACGTTTCCTAAACAACGTCCCTTAATTTGCCCATCTTTAGGAAACATGACTTAGAAACAGTATTTTCAGAACAATGTTTCCCAGTTTTTCCTACTTTTCTATAGTTAATTCCCATATTCTCGTATCCAGGTTTCTTGCTGTTGTTTATCCACTGAAGCAGATGGCACGGAAGAAGAAATCAACAATTGCATTGGCTATGGTGATAATTTGGATTTGCGCCATTGCTATCTCAATCCCACTTGCAATTTACACAGTTAACACAGCCACTTTAGCTCCCGTTAGACGCGACGGTGAAATTGTACTTGAAGAGGTATACTTGAATTTGAAAGCATTGGATTAATAGGGATGCATGCAACTACCTGAAAAACATCTCAGTTGATATTCGCGTAATATATAAATTAGTAAATTATCATTCTTCTTTTTGTTAGATCATCTTTATAGGTTCCACAATGACGGAGGATCAAGCCAAAGTTTATACCATGGTAATATTTATATCAATAAACGTTATCCCTATTATCTTCCTAAGCTTTTTATACACCGGAATCGTATATAAGCTATGGCATCCTGACAAACGCCTCACTTTGGAAGCAGCAACCCACTCTAAACACCAAAAACCAAAGAATTTCGTGGAAAAAGCCCGTCGGAAAACCACCATAATGTTACTGACGGTTGTAATGGTGTTTTTTCTGTGTATGTTCCCTTTCAACTTACTGAACTTGTTGCTAACCTTCGGCAACACCGAAAAATTCAATTTCGACATATTACGTCATGCCAACAGCATTCTTCGCGTCCTGCTTCTCGTGAACAGTGCTTCCAATCCTATAATTTACAACTTCCTTAGCGAGAAATTTCGCACCGGTTTCCAGAGCATCTTCACATGTCGTTGGCGAACACTCAAACGCGTTTCTGCATCGACGGACGCCGAGACAGTATTAGCATGAAAATAAGGACATCCTATAACCAAGTGGGCTGCGATTCGCTGGTAGAGGAACTCTATACATATCGTGTTTACATGGCTTACATTGTGTTAGAAAAATATAGTCTTCCGCCACCGTTACCCTATTGGTAACCCTATAGCGCGCATAAATAACATTAACATAGATAACAGCACTGAATCTGTTTACCAGGACAACACTGCCACTATATAGGGACAGCCTAACGCGCGTAAAAACTTGATTTTAATCTGTATAATATACTTTATCATTTTAACAAATATGTTTATTGACAATGTACCAAGCAATATTTTAGTTCACAAAACAGATAGAAATTGTCGAAATATATTCTGGCCTTGAAGTGTGAGAAACCAAATTTTGTTCCGAACCATAAATATTTATAGAAAATATTATTCGAAAGTTTACCGAAGTGGAGTGTATAAACAAGAACAATACGTAATAAGAATTATTGAAGAACAAAACCCAAACCAATGTAATATATGAACATTAACAATGATGATATTAATAAAAACAGTGTTAAAACTGTTTTGAGACGTAGAATATAGATATTATTTTTAAGTTAAAGAGTTTTTGTTGATAGCAATTCGAGGGAAAAGTATATACATACATTACGTGACCCGAAGCAGCTACAAAAAATCATCTATACTTTGCATTTTTCGCAGCTCTCCAGATCCTAATATATATTCTAAAAATATTTAGCATAAGCATAGTCAACTTGCGCTACGTGTATCAGATCTCAGTCAAGTCATTTTGACGGAGGTGGGAATTTGTTTACCGATTTTCGGACCCATAATGTTATACACTTAATGTCTGCTCCCGAGGGAAATAGTTAGTTTTGTTTTCCCGAGAATCTCAATGTTTCGCGAGACGAAGTCGAGGGAAACATTAAGATTCGAGGGAGAACAAAACTAACTATTTCCCGAGGGAACAGGCATTAAGTGTTTTGTTATATAGCGACGAACAAAATCAACTTCAACAACATTCATACAACAATTGTATTTCGTGACAAAAACTCTATAGTGTAAACGAGTTTAAAATTAAAAGAACCTACTTAAACGTTTCAGCAGCATATCCTGTTGCCTGTTGTGTATTTTTCTTCTCTTTTATATTCTTTATTTGAACACAAACTTGGAAAATCGTAGTTTCTAATTATCTGAGTTGTGCCTCCATTTTGTTTATTTATGTATGTGGCCGGTCGGGGCCACTGAGGGGCGGGCAACAATTTTTCACTTGTTGCCCGGCGGGAAACATTGCATTTATCTGAAGTCACGTGACCACAAATCAGCCAATCGCGTTTGGTGTTCACGCTAGCTATATAACAAAGTATATTAAACCACATAGTTGAACAAATACAAACAAGAAATCGGCATTAATATAGACCTAAACACACACTAATTACAACAAAATATATTTTGAAGATCCCATGTTTACATAATGTCTTCCCACCGAGGCGAAATATTATAAAAACAGTCGTATATGAACACAGAACAATCGCCTCAGGTGCATCAGTGCATGGCTCCCAGCGGCAAACCATGCAGGCTCATATGTACAAGCCTAAAGTGCAGCAATTTCGTACGTTTGCGGTTCTCTCGTAGCGTTTCGTGCCGTGTGAGGTACTTTGTTTTGTAAACAATTAATCAAACTTAAATTATGACCTTTTAACGAAGATTTATTAAACATGATGCGTCAATGATGTGCCTTGCCGGTAACATTCACTTTCAATGTCGCTCGGTGCACTGCATACATCTTGGATATTGCAGTTCTTTTCGTTCAAGTTGACCCCAGAACGACTCCTTTTTCGTCCTTTTCACTCTTTTGAGTAAATATACCAATCTAAAATGATCTTGTTTTGTGATTGGCTTCATAAAACAACAGTGATCAGTGTTTATGACTCGTTCTTCAGAAATATGATTTCTCTCTATAGTTCTTAATTGTCTTTTATTGTCATCATTAACCATCACAAAGCGCGTTCATATAGGTTGGTGGCGAGCCGACTCTTTTGAATTAATAGTGCAAGCATTTCTAGGAACGTCGAAAATTTCTTTAATATATTGAAAAGTTTGCTGCTTGGCTATTATTTGCTAACCATATTTAAATTGACTATAATATGTACATGCACTCATGCATGCGCCAACCATCGCAATTGCTGACAGTGGCTATCAAGTGGCTTGAGACGAGACGCAAATACTCATTTGGCATCGGTGAAAGGACGTCCCTTTTTAAGATTAATGGTTAAAATATGGCGAAAACGTTTTTCAAGTAAAAGATTCAGTGTTCGTCAAGATCCAAGTTAACTTTTTAAGGTAAGCCGTAAAGTGTTGCATGTAATGAAGAACAGCAAGAATATCTTAAAATGTACCAAGATCTCTTTACAACAACTGCGATATTCAAAGACCTCAAACACGAACAGTTTCAGCTGCGTCATCAAACACAAACAGTTTCAACATTTCAAATGAATGCCTTCTTGCCAAAAAGCCTTTCTCGAAAACATTCCTACAGCGGAATTTTCTTTTGATATGCACATTCTTTTCTCATTCAATTTGTTTTTCTGACAAAAGACTAACGGACAAAAAATTTTTGCCATGCTGGACTTTGTAATATCTGCTAGTGAAATTAAATTTACTGGCTTATATATTTGCCATTTTTACTAATAATACCCTTCGTTCCAGGAACCAAAGGAACTCCATCGTTTTCAAAATGAACAACACAACATGTTTCAACATTAGTACAGCAGCTCACTTATCGCAATCCAACAACACAACTTTACAAAACTTTAATTGTACAAATGGGTCGGCGAAGGACAATCCAACGTTGACTCGGACGTTTGACTTGTATTCCAGCACTGCGAAAATAATTGCATATTCAACGGTGTACAGCATTATCTCAATCATTGCTTTGGCAGGTAGGGTGAACAATTTACTATGTACGAATAAATAACTCCCCGATAGGGCTATTAAAAGACAAACAGCGCCATATAAGATATTACTGGAAACGCGTTCTAACAAGGTTCCTAATAGCGATCCAACTGTGTACCAACTATGCTGTTTCCGTACTGAACAAGCAACTTTCTTCTTCATTTTAGGAAATCTCATGGTTTTCCTGGTAGTGGCCATGAACCGTACGATGCACACAGCGACAAACGTATTGCTTCTCAATCTTGCCTTTTCTGATATCCTGTTTGTCGTATTTTCTGTGCCTGGTTTGCTGACGATGGAGATATGCAACGGTCGCTGGCCTTTCAGTGAAACCATAGGGAGGATGACGCAACAAACAACCAATCTCGTTGCCGCATCCTCCGCATTCACCATGATGGCCATAGCGTTTGAAAGGTAAGAAAGAACTATATCGTTTGAAAGACGCCATTGTTAAATGCCGTCAGGGTCTTGTTCATACGTTATCAAGGATCTTAATTGCTTTCTACGCTGTGCTTTTCACTTATAAATTGGTCTGGCATTATATGAGCTAAACCGTCGATGCCCAAGCGACAGCGTATATCATCCAGCTTAAAACAACAAACGCATAGTCAAATTTTCTGTCCTTATAAATGGGGTAAATAAAAGATGGGTTCTTTCTAGCTGTTTTATGCATCATTGGGTAGCATGGCTTAGAAACAAGGTTTTAGCAACAATATTTTATTTTATTTCAGGAAACATGGCAATGAAACGCTTCTGAAACAATGTTCCTTAGTTTGTCCATTTTAGAAAACATGGTTGGGAAACAATGTTTGCACAACTATGTTCCTAGCGAACCCTATTTTGTTTCGTCAGTTAATTTTCATATTCTCGCACCCAGGTTTCTTGCTGTTGTTTATCCACTGAAGCAGATGGCACGGAAGAAGAAATCAACAACTGCATTGACTCTGATGATCATTTGGATATGCGCCATTGCTATCTCAATCTCACTTGCAATTTACACAGTTAACAAAGCCATTTTACTTCCCGTTAGACGCGACGGTGAAGTTGTACTTGAAGAGGTATATATACTTGTACTTGAAAGCTTCCGAATGATAGGGATGCATGCATGCAACTACCTGAAAAACATCTCATGATCAGTTGATATTCGCGTAATAAATAAATAAATTAGTAAATTATCATTCTTCTTTTTGTTAGATCATCTTTCTAGATGTCACAATGACGGAGTGTCAAACCAAAGTTTATACCATGGTAATACTTATATCGATAAACGTTATCCCCATAATCTTCCTAAGCTTTTTCTACGCCCAAATAATATATAAACTATGGCATCCTGACAAACGCCTCTCCTCAGAAGCAGCGACCCACTCCAAACACCAAAAACCAAAGAATTTCGTGGAAAAAACCCGTCGGAAAACCACCATAATGTTACTGACGGTTGTAATGGTGTTTTTTCTGTGTATGGTTCCTTACAACTTACTGAACTTGTTGCTAACCTTCGGCAACACCGAAAAATTCAATGTCGACATATTACGTCATGCCGACAGCATTCTTCGCGTCCTGCTTCTCGTGAACAGTGCTTCCAATCCTATAATCTACAACTTCCTTAGCGCGAAATTTCGCATGGGTTTTCAGAGCATATTTTAAAAAGAGCTTAACCAAGCGACGTCAGAATCAAGTAAATTGATTAAGATGATATTAACAGTTAAATTTTGCACGCACGACGTCCGTGTCCGCTAGGGACACCCGGTGACCTCTATATCATATATCTGGAGCAAGAACTTCAGTCATTCGGCCTACGAGAAAAATGAAGCCAAGATGGTGGCCATATTTTACGTCCAATACTCAATGGCTCTGAAGGTCATAAACAGTTTCAATAACCATTTTCCCCTAGCTAATTCCAGTTTTTTTCTAACGGACTGTATCGCTAACCAAGTTATCAGTTCATAAAATCACAATATTATTCTTTAAATCGAAATTTCGGCACACTCCTTGCCAAAATGGCAGAAATTGAAGGAGCTATTGGACGTCAGATCCAGTCCCTTTCTATTGTTTTTTTCTGCGCGGTTAACACGAAGCTGGCTTCAGTTTTTGGACTCGAGTTCTCCCTCCAGATATATATATATATATATATATATATATATATATATATATATATATATATATATATATATATATATATATATATATATATATATATATATATATATATATATGGAGTTCACTGGGGACACCTAACTCGCGTAAGAACTAAATTTTAATTACCAAAGTGTATAATATAACTAGATCATTTTTAAAATGGTATTCAAACAAGGCCAACGATGTTGCATCCAAAAATCTTGCATGATGTTGGACCAACATGTCAATCTTGTAAAAGAGGGAAAGCCTGGGAACGAGGCTGCATTTCGTTTGAACGGACCTCGTACAACGCGCTGTCTCTTGCAACATTGACATTCAATGTCGTTGGGGGCAGATGCGTCTTGTACTTTCCTGCCAATTCAATGTTTTAAACACTCCTTAAGCCCCATGCAGACAAGTTTTCCTCGACAAATTTACCTTCTCATGTGTACGGTTAACAAGTTTTCCTTGACAAGTTTACCTTCTCGTGTGTACAGTCAACAAGTTTCCCTTGACAAGTTTCCCTCGACAAATTTACCTTCTCGTGTGTACTGTTAACAAGTTTTCCTCGACAAGTGTTGTTGCTCGGTGCACGTAAAAAAACAACTGGAAAGGACTTTTGGAAAGTATAGGGTGGTACACGGAATGGAACGGTATTACGCAAAATACAAAATGGCTCACTATGTAGTGTTGAAACTGTCAGTTTATTATCGTTATTATTTGAAAGTATCAATAATCTTGGGTCTGCATAAAGTGCGAGACATGCGAGGCACCAAAAACGTGCGGAATCACACATCAACTAGATGATCTTGATAAGCGGAAAAGTACTGGCACTAGTTGTCAATAGAAATCCATTTTATGATTAAAACAACTGAATATCTCCTGTAATATACTTTATTTCGATTCCATATTTTTGTCAGAGCTAGAGTTCTCATAACCAAACATACTTACAAAATTTCAACTAGTTTCATAAAGAATAACGAAAGATATAATTGAATTGACTGAATACATCAAAATGGATTTCTATTCGGACAACCCTTTCTGAGCGCTGGTTGGCTAAAATACGAACACGAGATCCCCTGGAATACAGCAGCGAGCCATGCATATTTCGCAGAAACGTTTCTATAATTAGATCTGGTCGTATTAAACATTTTTTATGCGCGAATACGGCAAGCACACTGCAACTATACTAAATTCAACGAAATTGAATCTAAGTTTAGTTATTCGGGATAGCTTTATTTATTGTAGACTGCATGTTCTCACAGAGCTCTGTAGTAGTCGATTGTAACTATATACCGTATACCGGACGAAACTTAAACTGGACTCAATTTATATATACTAGAGGATACTAGTTTGTTTAGTTTAGATCTTGTATTTGTCCTTACTACTTGACACTGTCACTGATATTCTTGCAATATACTTAATTCTTCGTTGTCAACATTCGTGATATCATTTTGTTTTGGAATTATAGTCAGTGATTTGCATTATAGAATATATAGTCAGTGATTAAATTGTTCTTCGTCGAGGTCCAGTGTAAGAAGACACTAAACTAGATTTACTTCATTTAATATATACTCAGTGTATATAAGTTTCAATTTCGCCACGAAATGCTTGTTATACGCATGATTGCATGCCGGAAATATATTTGTTTGGTATTTGTGGAAGCATCACGTTTATTTTGTATTGCTAGCTTTCGATATATATTAAGCTTAATAATACAGTTATTTTCGTATTTGGTACTATAAGTTGTATAGTCCCATATATGTCTGTGTCAAATGCTACTATAGACTTGCTTCTTTGTATATATTGTAAATACTGTAGGTTATCTAATTTTTAGAGGGCCATTTGGTAGAATACCTTCTCAGGTAAAAATGTTAATTTACCCTCATCAAATAAAGTTTATTATTATTTATTATTATCTTCACCAATGTATTAAATTATTATAGCACCAACGATCTTGGATCGAAAGCTTCGCCAAAGCAGAGACCAGGAAATGAACGCGTCCACAAAACAAAACAATTATATTTATTTTTACCATGCAAATCTACAATTAAGGTCAAGGATCTTATTAGTGTGCTTTATGACAATGGTATCGAGATAACGAAATATCTTTGAAAAGCACAATACATTAATTATTGGAAAAAAAAACCCCACCTGCACAAAATGCTTGAAAACGTGGCTATCTTTTTATCTCTAAATTACGGCAAATAAAAATATTTCGAAACTCATTAAATCTTTATTTAGCTTTGGCGCAATTGCCTCAATGTTGGCGTAATTGCCTCTATACAAAGACAAAGTTTGTCTTCTGTGATATTTGCCCATGGGCATCGCCATGAAAACAGGCGAGTTTACTGCAATGGCAACGAAATTCAAATCAGCGTTCTAGACAGCTAGAAAGAGCATGTAAAACTGTAAAATAAGTTCACTGCATGGACAACTTTTCTAGCTTATCTTTTTTCGTTCTCGAGATATGTAAATTAAATAAATCTATTGCATTATGCAAGGAGTAAAATATTAGTATAGTCTGGTATATAATATATATATATATATATATATATATATATATATATATATATATATATATATATATATATATATATATATATATATATATATATATATATATATATATATATATATATATATATATAAATATCACTAGCCTCCCAAAAAACTTCATTTATATAAAGCTTCAAATAGAAAATAAATTTTATTAAACTTTAAATGAATAAATACATGTTGTAAAGATAAAGATACGTTTCGGGGCACAGCCCCTTCGTCAGAAACGAGATAAGTTCAAATCCATGTCCTTAAATACTTTTGGCCCAATCCTAATTAACATACACTAATAATATATATAGACTTGCATTAATATTCCTCCCTCAAATTTAATCCCAGTGGTACATATGTATTCAATTTTCAATCCAAAAACTTTCCCTCTCTGTAGGTTTATTAACATCCGTGATATCAATAATCTGTGCTTTAAAATCATTAAGACCCGAATGGCCCTCCTCAAAAAAATGTTCATACAAATGTTGACCACATAAACCTCTTTGGCCCTTAGAAAATCTATTAAGCGAACTCTTGTGGTTATTAAATCTAAGACGAAATGACGTTACCGTATTGCCCACGTATTGTTTATTACATTTTCCGCAAGTAATTAAATAAACCACCCCCTGAGAGTTACAATCAAAGTGATGGTTAATGTGAAACGTGCGCCGTTGTACTGTACTTTGAAAAGTATCCGCTACCACGATGGAATCACAAACCTTGCACTTTTTCCCCCCACATTTAACCATCCCTCTAGCTGCAACCTCAAGCTTATACAATTTAGCCCGAACAAGATGGTCTTTAAGGTTTGTGGATCTCCTAAAACACACCATAGGTGGCTCTGGCATGACACTTAGGAACTTGCTAGATAAGCCTACAATATTTTGCAATTCCCTAAAAATTCCATAAATTTCCCGCAATGCTGGGTGATAATCTATGATAAAGGTACTCTTATTATTTTCTCTTCTAGTTTGCTCACTTCCCCGTTTAAATAATGCCGACTGATCCAAAAACCTTACCCTCTTAAACTGACTCTCTACAAATAGAAGAGAAAATAATAAGAGTACCTTTATCATAGATTATCACCCAGCATTGCGGGAAATTTATGGAATTTTTAGGGAATTGCAAAATATTGTAGGCTTATCTAGCAAGTTCCTAAGTGTCATGCCAGAGCCACCTATGGTGTGTTTTAGGAGATCCAAAAACCTTAAAGACCATCTTGTTCGGGCTAAATTGTATAAGCTTGAGGTTGCAGCTAGAGGGATGGTTAAATGTGGGGGGAAAGAGTGCAAGGTTTGTGATTCCATCGTGGTAGCGGATACTTTTCAAAGTACAGTACAACGGCGCACGTTTCACATTAACCATCACTTTGATTGTAACTCTCAGGGGGTGGTTTATTTAATTACTTGCGGAAAATGTAATAAACAATACGTGGGCAATACGGTAACGTCATTTCGTCTTAGATTTAATAACCACAAGAGTTCGCTTAATAGATTTTCTAAGGGCCAAAGAGGTTTATGTGGTCAACATTTGTATGAACATTTTTTTTAGGAGGGCCATTCGGGTCTTAATGATTTTAAAGCACAGATTATTGATATCACGGATGTTAATAAACCTACAGAGAGGGAAAGTTTTTGGATTGAAAAATTGAATACATATGTACCACTGGGATTAAATTTGAGGGAGGAATATTAATGCAAGTCTATATATATTATTAGTGTATGTTAATTTGGATTAGGCCAAAGGTATTTAAGGACATGGATTTGAACTTATCTCGTTTCTGACGAAGGGGCTGTGCCCCGAAACGTATCTTTATCTTTACAACATGTATTTATTCATTTAAAGTTTAATAAAATTTATTTTCTATTTGAAGCTTTATATATATATATATATATATTAGTATAGTCTGGTAATACTAGTATATAAGGTAGTATAGTCTCGTCAGAGGTTTAAAATGATGAAATATTTCAAACCATATACATGCAGCTATAATTCAAAAAAGGTTTTCCTTTGAAAAACCTTAACTCTAAACCTTAAACCTTGGACTCTAAGCGTGCAAAGCATAACGGGAACAGTTATGCTTAATCTGTTTAGAAAGCAGTATGAGGATCGACGCCCATTTCTTATAGACATGGTAAATATCTCCATACGAGAACAATGTATTCACAAATAGCTGCAATATTCAACTACAAAGTCTGAAACTTGTGCTCCCATTAAGCTTTGCGCGCTTAGAGTTTAAGGTTTAAGGTGTAGAGTTTAGTTAAGGTTTTTCAAAGGACAGCCTTATTCGAATGGACCTATTACCCAATGAACAAAATTTTGATCTAGACGAGTGTAGACAAAAATTTCATCACAGCTTGAAAGAGCATCACAAAATTAGTAATATTCCGAAGTTTCGTTGCGAAATGTTGTAAAATGCGGATAATATAGCCCTGCGAAGTTTGCCGTTTTTCAGCCATTTTGTATTACGCACGGGAAATTGATACCGCTTTCTGAAAAAAGGTATCAATTTCCCGTTCGTAATACAAAATGACTGAAGAACGGCAAACTTCGATCGCAGGGCTATATTATCCGCATTTTACAACATTTCGCAACGAAACGTCGGAATATTACTAATTTTGTGATGCTCTTTCAAGCTGTGATAAAATTTTTGTCTACACTTGCCTAGATCAAAATTCTGTTCATTAGGTAATAGGTCCATTCGCTGCATATTGTTTTAGGTAATAGGTCCATTGGCTGCATTTTGACCAATATTATGCAGAAAGTAGTATGCAGCAAGCATGAGCTCTTGGTTTATAAAGTTGGTTTAGTTAAAGTTTCCTCCTGTAGCTGATAACACACTCGACCAGGAGAAGAGTTAGAACTGACAATATACAGGCTAAAGTTTCCTATACTCTATAGCTTCTGTGCTTACGTTGTAAAAGGCTTAAGTATTTTTTTTTATAATAAACGGCTGAAGTATTTTGTTTTTAATTTTCTTTGTTCAGAGAAAGGGCGGCAAAACCTTTCAACTCCCCCACAAGCTTGCAATAATAGTTAATTATAGTTACGTGCAGTATTGAAATTCTTCAGAGAGATATCGTGTTCTATTTTGGTCTGCAACTTGCGGGGCGCCCAACAAGATTGCAGAATAGATATATCATGCAGTCAGTAAATGTTTCTCAACGAAAATCTGCCATCTTTGTCCTCTTGTCGACCGTTTTTACTGTATAAGAAAAATGACGGTTACGCGGTTTTCACGAAGAAAATACGGGAATTTGCAATGTTCCTAAAAGTCAATTAAATTTTCTTCAATTCCTGTTAGAAGTTCTTGACTTCCTGTTACAAATTCTTAACTTTATTGGCTAACAAAAATAATCCACCAATGACAACGCTCAGAACAGAACAGGAAGTCAGGAAAATTTGAAAGGAAGTTTCTCTGGAATACCGCAACAGCCGATAGCAACATTGCAAACTCCCTCAAGGGATTTGCAAGGGGTTTTACAAATTTGCAAAGGTCATAGGAAAATTGCAATCAAGTTAGTAGGAACTCGAAAGAGGAACGCTTGACGTATGGTTTACCTGTAACGTAATTTCAGAAAAATTTGCCGTGACACTTGTGGACCATGCAACGTAAACAACTAATGATGCATGCGTACCAAAAAGAGGTTCATTAACCAATTTACGCAAAGCGATATGTATCTACTGCCTGGTGTCTAGCTGTGACAAGAAGTCAAATTTCGACCTACTACAGGTAATCCAGTATATAGTAGTTTTTCAATCCGCCCAACCTAACTAGATGCATCTATAAGTTATAATAAAGTGAATCAAATTATAGCTAGTGTTCAAAACGCCATGGTTACTTGGTTTTGATAGAAGCCATTTTTAAAACCATTCAGTTTCTTTCATTTTGTAATCACCTTAAATTTTTAACTAATCTTCCAATTTCATTGAAATAAAATGCAGCGTTTTGGCCCTCGATATAAGGAATAGAATTATCCGGCTATATGTATGAGTGTATAAATATATATATAGTATTTATAGTATCATATCCCACGCAATCTCGTGTTTGGTCGCAATCTCGTGAAAAATTCCGCTCCGCGCGCAAAATTCCGCCTAGTGGAAAACCGGCTTAACATACATGTTCTGCTAAAGCTGATTTTCTCTTTTCATCAAAAGGCTGTTTCAACTTTAGACAAGGGAAAATCAGCTTTAGCAGAACATGTATGTTAAGCCGGTTTTCCACTAGGCGGAATTTTGCGCGCGGAGCGGAATTTTTCTTAGAAAAGTGGAACTAATTAGAAAAGACAAAGGGAAATTCCGCTCCGCGCGCAAAATTTCGCCCAGTAGAAAACGTCCTTGCCGGAGATTGCGTGGGGAAACTCTAAAGTAATTACCCAGAAGCGTGGCATATAAATATGAGTAATCATGCTTTGAATAGGGATGACGGTGCCTATTTGCCAGAGGAATACATGCATCTCATTGGCAGGTGACGTCGTCCCTTGGGTATTTAAGAAGCCACGATTGTAACTTTAGATCATCTGATATACCATGCAGCTGGTTGCAGTGAACGAACAAACTTTAAATAATCGTCAATGTTTCACATAGATCATAAAAACACTGGATATATAGGAAACTACTAATAATATCCTTTGTTCCAGAAACAAAAAGAAACTTCATCGTTCTCAAGATGAACAACACAATCTGTTCCAACATCACTACAGCAGCTCTCTTACCGAAATTCAACAGCACAGCTTTACAAAACCTTAATTGTACAAATGGGTCGGGGACAGACAATTCAACGTTGACTTGGAATACGTTTGACTTGTATTCCAGCACTGCAAAAATAATCGCATGTTCAACGGTGTACGGCATTGTCTCAATCATTGCTTTGGCAGGTAAGATAAAAAATTTACTATGTACGAATAAGCAGCTAAATAGGGCTACTAAATTACAGGAAACGCGTTCTATAACGGCGTTCTGAATTGCGATCCAACAGTGTACCATGCAAGCAAATATCTTCTCCATTTTAGGAAATTTCATGGTTTTCCTGGTAGTGGCCATGAACCGTACGATGCATACAGCGACAAACATATTGCTTCTCAATCTGTCTCTATCTGATATCCTGTTCGTCCTGCTTGGTGTGCCTGGTTTTCTGACGCAGGAGATATGCAACGGTCGCTGGCCTTTGAGTGGAACCACGGGTGAAACCATGGCGAAGTTGATGCAACAAACAGGCGTTTTCGCTGCCGCATCCTCTGCATTTACCCTGATGGCCATAGCGTTTGAAAGGTAAGAAAGAACTATATAATGCTCATGCATGACGCCATTGTTAAATGTCGTCAGGGTCACAGAATAAGAAGGTACAGCAGAAGCGTAACTCAAGCACGTATTTGTCCGCATTTTCACAAGCGATTCGTCATCAATCACGCCATCCTGGCTAGTACAATCTGCACTTTGTACCTACCAAAACCTGACAAAAACTTCCGGTTGTACTTAGTGCTGTGCGCCGGAGTTGCCGGAGTTCTGCCGGAGCTCCGGCGGTTTTTCCGACGCCGGAGCCGGGGCAGAATTTTGTATGCCGGAACCCGGAGCCGGAGTTACGTTTTCCCAGCTCCGGCAAAATGACAAGAAAACAATATGAAATGAGACAAATGTCAAACGATTGTTAGTTACTGAAAACTGGCAATTGCTGTTAACGAATTCATCATAGACTCAAACTGCCACAGCCCACAGGAACAGCGTCGAAAAGCTGTGATACGATCGCAACTTACAAACGTCATGCTTTCATGAAGCCATCTGACTTAGCGCTACATACTGTAGTCTGTGTATTCATGCTTTGTAGATAACGAAAAAGTACAAAACAAATAAATATCAACCTTTTGAAAATGACAGAGTACTTTGTTTGCGTGCGAACAATTGCGCTGTGGAGTCTGAGAGTGTTAGCGTCATGCCTCGTGTCAAAGATTTTTCGAGGCTGGTTTCCATATAGATATTTTCTGCGTGGTTAAGTGTTTTCACTGTTTTTTCCCTGAGTTATGTTATCTGATAATTAGGAAGCGCGAAAAGGGTTATTCATAATAAAATTAATAAATGTTCTCTGATCGAAAAACATTTATTTAATATTTTATGATGTGGCCGGGACCGGAGCTCAGAGCTGTAATTCGGCCGGAGCCGGAGATGAAAAACCGGCGTTTGCACAGCACTAGTTGTACTAGCCAGGATGACGTGGATTGACGCGAGCGAGTTAAAATTTTCGTGGACGTAAAACAATTAAGGAAACGACTAGAGTTACGCTTCTGCTGTAACTTCTTATTCTGTGTCAGGGTCTTGTTCATATATTGTCAAGCTCCGCTTATAAATATGTCTGGCATTATTGAGCTAACCGTTGATGCCTAATATATAGTCAAATTTTCTGTGCATCATTGGGCAATTTTGCTTTGGGTAACATGATTTGGAACAATGTTTTCGCAACAATACTGATTCAAAAAAACATAGAAAGGAAACATTTCTGAAACAATGTTCCTTAGTTTATTTTTCAATGTTCCTTAAAAAAACATGGTTGGGAAACAGTGTTTCTACAACTATGTCCCCAATTTGCCCAAGTTTCTTTAGTCAGTTAATTAACTCCCATATTCTCGCGCCCAGGTTTCTTGCTGTTGTTCATCCACTGAAGCAGATGGCACGGAAGAAGAAATCAACAACTGCATTGACCCTGGCGATCATTTGGATATGCGCCATTGCTATCTCAACCCCATCTTCAATTTACATAGTTATCGTGTCCACTTTAGTTCCCGTTAGACGCGACGGTGAAGTTGTACTTGAAGAGGTATATACTTGTATTTGAAAGCTTCTGATTGATAGAGATGCATGCGTGCAACTACCTGAAAACATCTCAGTTGATATTGATATTCGCGTAATATATAAATTAGTAAATTATCATTTTTCTTTTTGTTAGGTCACCTTTGTAAATCTCGCACTGTCGGAGGATCAAGTCAAAGTTTATGTCATGGTATTATTTATATCAATAATTGTTATCCCTATAATCTTCCTAAGCATTTTCTACGCCCGAATCGTATATAAACTATGGCATCCTGACAAACGTCTCTCTTCAGAAGCAGCGACCCACTCCGAACACCAAAAACGAAAGAATTTTGTGGAAAAAAAACGTCGGAAAACCACCATTATGTTACTGACGGTTGTAATGGTGTTTTTTCTGTGTATGATCCCTTACAACATACTGAACTTGTTGCTAGCCTTCGGCAACGCCGAAAAATTCAATCCCGACATATTTCTCCATGCCAGCAGCATTCTTCGCGTCCTAATTATTGTGAACAGTGCTTCCAATCCTATAATCTACAACTTCCTTAGCGAGAGATTTCGCAAAGGTTTTCAGAGCATGTTAAAGAGCTTAACCAAGCGACGTCAGAATCGAATAAATTGACTAAGATGATATTAACAATTAAATTTTGAACGCGCGACGTCCAGTGAGCTCCGTATCATATTTATAGTAAGCTGAATGCACTAGTCGATGGACCTATTCCCTAATGAACAAAATTCTGATCTAGACAAGTCTAGTCAAAAATTTCATCACAGCTGGAAGAGCATCACAAAATTAGCAATGTTCCGAAGTTTCGTTGCAAAATGTTGTAAAATGCAGATAATATATAGCCCTGCGAAGTTTGCCGTTTTTCAGTCATTTCGTATTACGCACGGGAAATTGATACCGCTTTCTGAAGAAAGGTATCAATTTCCTGTGCGTAATACAAAATGACTGAAAATGGCAAACTTCCCAGGGCTTTATTATCCGCATTTTACAACATTTCGCAACGAAACTTGAACTATAATCTGTACTTACCAAACCATCGCAGTCGCTGACAGCCACCTTAAATTTATGCGGAACGGTCTCGCCAATCAGATAGCAATGTTCCGTCATCTTGACGCTCTCAACACTACCATTACCATAATAATGTTCCACCTTAAAATGTGGGCCAAACAGATGCTTGTTGATGCGCAGTTTCATATGAAATTCTTCGCCATTTGCTTTGAATTTGTAATGAAAATAGTCCTTGTCGTCGACTAGGTTGATAGCTCTTTTTCGCCTGCGTCTACTTGAGGTATCCGTGAGATAGCCCAGATGTGATTTCTCGCTGTCCGTTATAGTTGGAAAATCGATTTCGTAACTTCTTAGATTTCTTATTAAAAACCCTGAAATTTGGATAGGAAAATTGTATCAAAAGCATGAACAGTTAAAGTTTGAACTAAAAAATGCAATTATGGAGTATTTAGGAGTTGTTTTGAACGAAAATCTTCCGGCAAAATGACTTATCACATCATTTCAAAAGTTCTTTAATTAAGAATGAAATAATAAATATAATTAGCCATTTCCCAAAGTCCTGGGTCTAGTCGCGCAAATCAGTTGGAGGGACAATAAATATGGCAGCACACATTTAAATTAAAATTTTAATGCAAAAAGAGATATTTCATTTTTGGTCGTCTAAAAAGTTGATATTTGATAGTAGATACTTCTATTCTTTCACTGTCACCTGTCACCATATATTTTGTCCCTCCAAACAATCCCAGAATGCATTGTGATCTCTTTTGGGAAAAGCCTAATTGATGTTAGGTATTCATTGGGTTGTATTGTATTGTATTGTATTGTATTGTATTGTATTGTATTGTATTGTATTGTATTGTATTGTATTGTATTGTATTGTATTGTATTGTATTGTATTGTATATCGAAAACAGATAATGTAATCATAAAACTATCATAATATAATGAAGGATGAGAATTGACTACACATTTTAACCTTGTTATCGTAATTAAATAGTATTTATCGTGATTAAATATAATCATTTTATTCTTCACATTTTATCGGGGTTTCTTTATAGCGACGAATAACGTTGATTGAAAATATTTATAATGGCTACTGAAAGACTGTTCACTGTTTGAAATCGTTAGTTCTTTTTTACACAGAAAATTACTTTCATTTTAAGCAGTTTGATTAAATTAAAACTAAATGTTACATCGTCTGTTTATAGTCCAGTCCAGGTACAAATAACAAATCTCTTTGCCGGAATAAAACCGGCAAATACATCTTCACACAACTTGAAAATGATTCTCACAGCTATAGTCATGCAAGGTATACACGTTTGAGTCTTAGGCGCGCGTTCTAGCCCTGTAGAGAAAAGCCATGAATTTTTGCGCCACTGTGGAAATTTCATGTTCGGAATCTATGGTCTATTTGCTTTCTGTCAATGCTTTATTTAAGTTTACACAGGCCGCTTCTGGACATGGAAATCGCAGGTTTTTCCGAGTGTGTAATCGAAAAGAATTTGAAATTTAACAAGGTGCACGTTTGAGTTTTAGACGCCCGTTAACGTTCTATCGCGTTTCAAGCCCTGTAGAGCAGAATCATGAATTTGTGCCGCTCTAAAAGTTTCATATTCACAAAGTTTCATATTCAAATATAAATAGGCCATTTCTGGTCATGAAAATCGCAGTTAGGCGCGCGTTGTATTGCGTTTCAAACCCCGTAGAGAGCAGAGCTCGGTGAATTTGGGCCATTCTAAAAACTCATATTCGAAATCTGTTGTCTATAAAGTCTTTCTGTCAATGCATGCCTTACTCAAGAGTCAAGTATACACATATCGTTTCTGGACATGAAAATCTGCCCGGGAAATGTACATAAAAATTAGCCGCGTGTTCTGTTGTGTTGAAGGCCTGTACTAAGATTGAAAGAAAGATCGACTGAAAAAGCGAAAAGAAAATTACATTTATATGATGATAGCGTTCTGGGGTTTTCCATTTCTTATGTCGAAATCCTCTGTGAAAGTGCCAAGGAAAATAAATTAAGTCTTTGTTGCGCATCGTTGTTAAAGCTAAACGCTTGTATACAAAACAATTTTTTTGATTATTTCACAATCCGGGTTGATTTTCTATTTTATTTTAGAATATGATGCGATTTATCACGGTGAGATAATCGTCAAAATTTGGGGGAGGTGGAACCACCTGGTTCTATTGAAATCCTAATTCTTGCCTCAGACTATATATAAGATAAACGTTCCGTATAACCGGCCCCAAAATGTATGTGCATTTTTTTGCGAAAACACCTCGTCCAAATATTAATGTTAAGGTATTAGATATTAATTAATTATTACTACTACAATCATACAATGTCATTCACAAGAAATATGAAAAAGAATCAAAGCATCTGGAGAAATCAAACCGAAGATTTTAGAGCAAAATAGTGAAATCTATACCCCAATTTCAGATCAGAAAAGTAAAAAACTGCTTGTACCCATAGGGGTTTAAGTACGCAATTGAGCTTACCAATTTAGCACGACACTCCCCCCCCCCCCGAATTTCAGTTGGCATAGCGCCAATATTTTTCTAGGATTGTAGACTAATTTCGTTCTTACGGAGTTACGAAGTGCATCTTTCAACAAAAGCATTATCACAGCGAGAATAAAAGCAGCATCCTGGCGCCTTGCAAGATAGCAAATCATTTAGGTAGACGATTATAACGACTCTATTTAACAGCATGTACTTTACAGAATCACGGCAGCTACTAAAATAGTGGGAACATCTCGAAGTTACTATCGGAAGGAAATTAGACGCCAAAGCCAGGCTTATTATAATATTAAGGTCATGTTTGTGTTTATCCCCTCCAGAAGAAAAAAAATTATCGACTTCCTATACGCGATGTTATTGTAATTTGTAAAATGCTACCTACACTGGACCACCACGTTTGAGATATCTTTTCAAGTAGTTCTGCAGACGCATGCATCATGCATGCAAACCAGGACAGCTTATTGCAGAATATACTACGTACACTGGACCCCCACGATTGAGATATCTTTTTCAGGTAGTTCAGACACAAACCACGACAGCTTATTGTAGAATACTACCTACACTTGACCACCACGTTTGAGATATCTTTTTCAGGTAGTTCAGACACAAACCACGACAGCTTATTGTAGAATACTACCTACACTGGACCACCACGTTTGAGATATCTTTTTCAGGTAGTTCAGACACAAACCACGACAGCTTAATGTAGAATACTACCTACACTGGACCACCACGTTTGAGATATCATTTTCAAGTAGTTCAGACAAAAACCACGACAACTTATTGAAGAATATTATCTATACACTGGACCACCACGTTTGAGATATCTTTTTCAGGTAGTTCAGACACAAACCACGACAGCTTAATGTAGAATACTACCTACACTGGACCACCACGTTTAATATATATTTTCAAGTAGTTTTGGAGACACAAACCACGACAGCTTATTGAAGAATATACTACTTACACTGGGCCCTTGAGATATCATTTTCAAGTAGTTCAGACACAAACCACGACAGCTTATTGAAGAATATTATTTACACCGGACCACCACGTTTGAGATATATTTTTCAAGTATAGTTTAGACACAAACCACGACAGCTTATTGAAGAATACTATACCTACACTGGACCACCACGTTTGAGATATCTTTTTCAAGTAGTTCAGACACAAACCATGGCAGCTTATTGTAGAATTTACACATGAGAACAAAGAACTACATTGTTAGAATTTCGTGCTAATTAATTAAAACAACAAATACTCCCTCACGATAAGTGGCTGTTCTGTACGCTGAAAAAAAGAAGATGAGTGACAACGGCGTTTATTCTGGTGACAGGATTTAGGATTTCAAATTTCGGATCCCTTGATGAGAATTGAGAAATATTCAGTCCATGCGAAACCTGTGGGATAGTACCAAGAATTTAGGCTCCAGATTCGGGACGAAAAGCCTTAATGTGCACGCATATGGATGTACAGCACTGAGGTGCACTGTTAATTAACGGCGACACAACTGCCAACGCCATTAATTTACAGAAATATTAAATAGCGATGACGTGTGATATAATCGATGATGACACACCAATGAGAGAAAAGGGAAGTTATTGTAGACATTAAGAACACAAATCTTACAAACTTGAGTTGTACTGTGTAAATCAGGCAAACAACTAGCCTTCGTTGTCGTATGTGAGTTGTGTGCTTGACTTACACAGTAAGTTGTAAGCAGGTTGCATGGGACAGTTTTAGGAAAAAGTCGTGCACCTAAAGCGACCTCGTTGCATTGCGACTTTGTAAATGGGCATCTTTTAATTAAAAACGACATGCTATCGTGCAGTTAATACAATTTTCCCCGACGCCGACGGAACGGGGCAAACTTAATTGCAATTGATTGCGAAAAGGTCAATATATTATGGACTGAATAACGACGGCACCCAAAAGTTAATTAAATCAATGTTGAATTTAGCAGTCTTCTATGAATTGGACACATAGAGAGAGACTGATAGTTGACTCGTGTTAAACATATGTCCTGTTGGTTTACAACCAGATTAATCCACATGTAGAGAAGTTTCAGAATGATAGATGACCGATTCTATTTGAAAATTCCTTTGCGTGCATCGATTAATTAAAAAACTCATTAATAATTCATGAGGAAAATTTGTAAATCGGATAAAGATTTGTCCTGATTTACATAATTCATAAACTTCAGCTTTGATTTTCTCGGCCTAGACAAGGTTTATTTTTAAAATTACTTCGCCAGTGAACTCATAAGATGGGTCGTTTTTTAAAGCACGTTAAAACATTCGCATCCCATCTTTATTTGATATACAAACTCTCGCCTTCGGCTCGAGTTATGAGGCTGGATGATTTCGATATTGAAATAAGTCACGATGCATGATTCAGCAAAAAATTTCATTTTCTAGAGATGGATTATCAGTTAACTGTAAACGAAAGGTTGTTCAAAAAACTATAAAAATCTTCTTCAACTACATGATCTTCTCCACAACATTTGAGTTCGATTAACCAGCTTTTGAACTTTCGTTTAGCCTAGTGACTTATTTCAATACATCAAAATCATCTCCACCTTTCATCATGTAAACAGCTCAGAGGTATGCGCAGGTTAGGTAGAACTATAAGAAAACAAAGTAATTTTTGAGAGGTACGCCGAGAGACTTCAAGTTTTGAACTCTTTTTATCGCACATTGCCTTCTAATCATTTCGTATTATCATTCACATCATATTCCCTATACTACCTTTTAGCCTGACTAGCCATCCCATTTAATCCCATTATGTTCCGTCTCTCTGACATTCCAGCCTTTCCGCAAAAGCTACGTAATTACTCGTATGGCGTTGACGTGTATTGTTAGCACAATCTGACAGTGCCAAACCCAC